CCCCCCCCCCCTTTTACCTCAGCCGCCCAATATCTCCGCCTGACCCTGGCATGGGACCCCTAACCGTCCCGTTCCCGTTAAGATCGGATCTTATCTCTGTTCAGCGAGTAAGGGGATTCAATGTCATCATCTCGCTGCCCCCACCACCCGGCGTCCTCCATCCACCTCGAGTTCCATCCCACTCATTGTGACTCGCTGCGACATACCTCTCTACGTTGTCAGGCGAGCAAGTGACCACGCGACTAGAACTCTACAAGCTCAAGTGCTTGATAACTCGGGCTATACGGGAGCTATCCAACGCGTACGCATGCGCTCCCTTGGCGGCTCAACAGTCCTGAGCTGAAGCTATATTCGACGACTCTGCCACTATCCGAAGCGACGTCTATCGTTATACGTACGCCATAAGCTCAAGGCTTACCCACGACGACCTTTAACGAACAACATTGATACGTAGACGTCATGGAACGCGTTCGCAAAGCATTAGGCCGTCAATACTCATCCACATCAACATCAGAATACGAGCCTTTGACCGGTACTGAGGAAGCCACTCCTCTAGAAGGCTCAACAGTACTCGAGGGCCAACATGAGTTGCCGTTCTCGTGGATAGAATATAGTATCTTTGCCCTGCTGGGTGTCGCTATGCTCTGGGCTTGGTGGGTTTCTCTCTCTCGTATCCTGTGAATGTTGTAGTTAACGTAAAATAGGAATATGTTCCTTGCTGCAGCTCCATACTTCACAGCTCGCTTTGCCGGCGATGCTTGGATTCAGTCTAACTTTCAGTCTGCGATCTTGACCGTCTCTACTGTTACCAACCTCGGCGCGATGCTTGTTCTCACTAGTATACAGTACTCAGCATCGTACCCTTTTCGAATCAACCTGGCACTTGTTATCAATGTTTTCACTTTCAGTCTCCTGACTGCTTCTACAGTCATCGGACTAAGCGCGTCGCCGACTCTATATCTCGTGTTTCTGCTTGCTACAGTCGCTGCTGCTGCCTGGGCAGCTGGTCTCATTCAGAATGGAGCCTTTGCTTTTGCAGCCAGTTTCGGACGCCCAGAATATATGCAAGCCATCATGGCTGGACAGGGCATTGCCGGTGTCCTCCCCCCGGTCGCGCAAGTTTTTACCGTGCTTGTCTTCCCCCCCGAGAAGGACCAGAACACTTCTATCAAAGAGCCATCTCCTGAAGATGGACAGACATCAGCTTTTGTCTATTTCCTCACCGCCGTGGTCGTGTCAGTTGCTGCTTTGCTGTCCTTCGTCCCATTGGTTCGCCGCCATAACCATATCATTGAGAACCGCATGGTTGAGCAAATGAATGAGTCCATGCACAGCATTGAAGAGGCCGAACGTGCCGCTCGCAAGGTCACATCCCTTTGGAGGCTCTTCACTAAACTTCACTGGCTTGCCATTGGTGTGGCACTCACTTTCATTGCAACAATGTTCATGCCCGTTTTCACCGCGAAGATCCATTCCGTGAAAGAAAACTCCGGTGCTCTCTACCAGCCTTCCGCCTTTATTCCTCTTGGATTCTTCTTTTGGAATTTGGGTGACTTGGGTGGTCGTGTGGCCACGATATTACCTTTCTCCCTACGGCACCGCCCCTTTGCTCTTTTTGTTCTCTCTATTATCCGTTTTGGTATACTCCCGCTATACTTGCTTTGTAATATTGACGGACGTGGTGCCATTGTTTCGAGTGATTTCTTTTATCTCTTCATTGTTCAGTTGGTATTTGGTCTCACCAACGGCTGGCTTGGTTCTAGTTTCATGATGGCATCGGGCGAGTGGGTGGATGAAGGTGAGCGTGAAGCTGCTGGCGGCTTCATGGGGTTGTGTCTTGTGGCTGGGTTGTCCATCGGCAGCCTTTTGAGTTTCACCGTGGCCGGCGTCTAGAACGGATTACACAATATTACAATAGAAGTGGGGTTTGGCGTTTGGGTTATGAACCGCAATTGAGAAATGATGGATATCGAACATTGAGGTACTGTAGTCCTTCCTATATCTGGGTATCGGATGCAGCCAATCATGAATATACGTCATATATCAAACCGGAAACAGTACCCTTCCTTACAACAACCTTGAACCTAACGCCGCGCCCCCTGATTGATGCAACCAAACATGCCCATACCCATGCTATGCTATGCGAGCCCGCCGTCGTTGAGATGCACTGATGCAACCTTGTAATGCAAAAATAGAAAGAGAATTGCGATTCCGTACGCAGATTTGCGAGTGAGATCTCAAGGATGTCTGCCTATGGCCTTTCAGACAACCATTTCATGAGATTCCTGCAGTGTGTTAGCAGGGATGAACCAGCTGGCATCTGAAAATATGACGTGTAAGACTTACGGAGGCTCATTCCGAAATGGGCACACTTCGGCCTTTGGCTTATCCTTTCTGCCTGGCTCCAGCAGTCCCGTGAGCTTGATAGGATGTGTTGTCATCCAGTAGACCAGGGCTTGCTTGGTCATGGCTTCCGTAGGGAAATGTGCTGTTTTATTGGGGAGTGGGTGAAGGTAAGGATCTTTGTCCTTGATACCGATAATCTTTACAAACCGATCCCGCCGACGGGTCCACTCAAGAAGGCATTTGGTAGGAGGGTGGTAGTATTGCCCGTTACACATGATCCAGTCAGCGGTGTAGCACCCGGAATCGATAAGATCTTTCTCGGCTGACGTCCATCGTTTGAACTTTATGTCGGTATCCTTGAGATCGAAGTCACCAAGTCTTACGCGAAGCCGTTGTTCGGGAGGCACATCATGACCCAAATTCATCTGGACGAAACATGTGCAATCGCGAACTGTCATGGCCAAGCTAAACATTGGATCACCCTTCTCAGCACGCAGAGGTCCCCTGGTGTCAGAAAGATTCTGAAGCCACCGAAGATCACGAATAACTTGATGATCGGCAGTCTTTGCAAGGAGTTCTCGAACCATAGGATTGTTGGCCTGTGCAGCAAGTTTAGGGGCGAAACGGAATGGCGAACTGATATCGGCGGGAGCATCGGGGTTTGCGAGTGTAAGGGGACATGGCTTTTGCTCTGGCCTATGTCTTGAAGGACTCGGATCCCGCAGAAAATTGAATAGTTCCATGGCGCATTGCCGACATCGTATGGCCCCTTGGGGAGCACTTGGAGATTGATTCAACCACTTTGGCTTGAACTCAATGAGGATGCTGTTTTTGGGTTCTATCAGCAATGGTAAGCGGCTTGATAATATTAGACCCCTGTAGTGAAGACAATCGTACCAGATACTCGCATATCTTCCACCAGAAGGCCCCAGTTAGACTCCGAGATGAATGATCCCCTGAATTTTTCTTTGCGCTGATGATCTATTGACCGAAGGAAGGCGTTGAGCTGAGGAATAATATTGGTATGACGAAGTACCACGAGCCGTTGCTGGATGGCATGTGTCTTGAGAAATGGAGTGATTTGCTTTGCGTAGAATTCTTGCTGTTTTAGGTAGTTGAACCTGGCTGGCTGACCACTCGCAGGAGCTTTGGCAACACGAAGAAGCCAACCTGAACAACACATCAGCACATATATTGTGTATAACATTGGATTAGCCAACCTTTGAAATCATTTGCCCACATGTTCCCTTCTGGAATGCCCAATTCGAATACGACATTAGCAGCACCCTCACCAACCATCTTTATTGGGCGAGTTCCCATTGGGAGTCTTTTGAGACTTTCCCGAGTCCAGGAAAGGGGGACAGCGCTGCCATTGAGCATAATAGACATTTCGACAACATCTTGAGGAGTTGGCCAAACATGGTCATCTTCTGATGAAGAGAAACAAAGGTCGGGATCGGTATCAGTCGGCGTGAGCTGTCCATCGGACAGAGATGGAGTTGACATGGTGTTGATTGATGACCGGGATCGTGCAGGTAGTCTGCAAGGTACCTTCAAGCCACCGATGTCGCGCGTTTGCTGGTGGGGAAGGGAGGGGAACGTTATCAACGAGGAGGGTTGGGCTGGGCTTTAAATGGAGACCGAGAGGACGAGACGAAACTCGACAAGAAGTGAATTGGAGCAAAACAGAGCAAATGTGAGTAAGATGGATTTAGTGAATAAGGGGAGAGGGAAGGATATGAGGAGGGGTGTGTGAATATGTACAAGAAGGAGCCTTGAATCGGTGATGGCTTAACAAGAAAGAGGCCGGGTTGCAGGCACTTGCTTGGGCTTGCAGTTGCAGCTGCGCCGGCGTTGACTCGCCTGCTTCTGCCTTCTTTTCTCCTTCGAGATGGTCACGCTCTACAAATGCGTATGCATATGCATCTGCGTCTGGATCAATGTTTCTGCTTCGAGTCGTATATGTGATTGCTGTTCTGAACTCGTTTACCTTGTTTCTGCCAGTTGTAAGCGGTACAGGAACAAACGCTCGAGGTCGTTGAGATACGAATGATGGCTGGCAAGTCAAGTCGATCGTGACCAAACAAATTTGGGATAAGCACCGTCCAAAGCTATAACCCTTAAACCAAGTTAGGTTTTGCTTCAACCCGCTCGGTCAAAGTCTAATGAGGCAACACGGTTGTTTCTGTCGCCTTGTGTACGTGCAGAACATATGCATGAGACCACAAGCGACAGTGCAGTTGATGCAAATGAGATGTGATGCCTCGGGTTACACAGCAATAGAAGCTGGGTCAACGTCATGTAAGGTAGGTATGTAGTAAGGCAAAGGCAGGGTATTGTATGTGTCGAGCTGTGCTTCTTTCGACAAGGACTGCAGAATTGACAACGGCGGGTGGTGTATGGGAGGGGTGTGTTGGACAAGATGTTGTAAGGAGTTTATGTTGTAAGACTGGGCTGGCAACAATGTCTTGTCTTCATTGACTCGACTTGTTTGGCTCTCTATCAGGATAGCATCACCACGATGGTTTGCTTGCAGAGATGAACGCAAGAGTAATAATAAGTCGAGTCTGACGTTAGGACAGCAAATGGACAGACGATATGACGAAGCTCGTAACCCCTTTCCCTTAACCCTCTTGTTACGAAAGAGCCGCTGTTGGCATGATTCCTGTTGGCAGATATCTCCACCGCAACAAGACCATCTACAACTAGAGTACGGGCAAGCAAGCAAGCGGATTGGATTGGATTGGATTGGATAGCAAGTGAGCTGGAGTCTACCGACAAGAAGCAAAGAGAAACAAAACCCCGCGAGAAGCACAGGTTTAAGACGGACTGTCCAGGGTCTTTTGTTCGCCAGCGGCGGTGCAGATTGAAGTGGGTGCTCGCCCACCGTCTAAAGTACAAGCCGGAGCCTTTGGTGTCGCCTAGAAAAGTCGACGATCCAATTTGATCTGGGATGGTGACGCACAGGTTTTTAGGACCCCTCCACCCATGGGGCCGGACCCGGACTAGAGTGAGCGCCAATGCCAGTCATCGTCTCTGGCAGCAACCATGGCGAACAAGCACCGAGACGGCTCTAGCGAATCACAACTCACCGTCACACGACACCCAAGCTATTGATCCAGGCCCTTTGGTCTCTTTAGGACGTTTCCCTTGCGCACCGCCTGCAGGCTACATCTGCGCCTGCATCTGCACCTGCACCTGATGAGATACGGTCTTGGGGGGTCACTTCACTGTTCGTGGCGCCGCTTGACGTTAGTCCATGAGCTGGGGCTGCAATGATTGACGATTAAACGCCGAGGCTTCGTGGGGTTTGAATGCCGTTTAAGTTGAGGCCCGCTGGCATCAATGCATCGCAGAACACCAGGAACAATAGATGGGCTTTTGTACCCTGGATGCTTCAAGGCCTGATTAACAACGGTCAAGGCTCAATAGCGGCCAAACAAGGCACGCACGTCCAAATGATTGTCCATTTTAGTCAAAGTGGCATCGTGCTCTCTGGCAACTTTCCTTGCCCCAGCCGTACGAGGCCACGATGTGTGTCCACGGTTCAGGCCCTGGTCCTGGTCCCTTGCACCCTGGCGCCCCGCTATCAAAAGGCACTGTGGAACCCTGGATTTCTATTTCCATTCGCGCAGAACAACGAAACAGAATGACAACAGCGCTGACAACGGCTGCCGACAGCGCAGGATATGGAGAATATCGGCAGCGTGGCACGCCTATAGATGTCTCTGAGCCGCCGCCACGGATGACTCAAACCGCGCTGTTCAGGCCTCCGTCGTCGCAACTGGCTGATGGCCCATCGACGACTTTGGGGCTCAAGCACACACGCGCTCATCCAGTCTATCGGTCTCGCCGGCTGATGATGTCACTCGACCTGGCGGTGATGCATTCTTACCCTGATTGTGCTCTGTCGTTGGCGGTTGAGAAATTCAACGAGACAATGCTGGCGACGATCACGGGACCGTGTGCATGCAAAATGACTGCATTCCTTCTCTCAGTTCTGTTTCTGTTCGGGCGTACCACGAATAAGCGTCGCTGAAGACAATGCCGGGCTGCTGGGATCATCAGCGTGGAGTAGCTAGTGCATGCCCTAAGGAGATCGTCCAACGTTTCTACCCACGCTGTTAAACTCGCACGTGGAGATCCAACTCGTTCGTTGTTTGAGCTTTGATCCTATCAATGGACCATTTTGAGATAAATCTGAGCTAGCACGAGCAAGTAGGCAAATAAGGCAACACACGAAGCTTGCACCTGTGACTGCGCTAATCACGAATGCTTCGATCATTACGGTTTTCTTTACTTACGGGAAGGATTCTCGCTCAGTGTGCCGTTGTTCATGGTTACATGTGTGACAGCCTATCGAACCGATGTTTACGACTGAAGGGAGGGAGACAGATTCGGAGAATATCGAGTGCGGAGGCTGGCGTTACACAAAGCATCTGCTTGTGAAACCCCAGTGATGAGTTCCGGCAAGGCACAGCACCACAGAGGTGCCCTTTTGAGCTGAGTTGACATGAAAGCAACCAATATGTATCCTGGTCGGCTGTCAGGTGGACAAGATTCATAGTCTCACCAAACTGGTCCCTTGCATGACAGTGGAAGGTGAGTCGTCCTGGTCCTTTGTTTCTGGCTGTGATGGTGTAAGGCGAAGAAAAACTCCAGATTGATGAGGTGGTATTGACAGAATACCACGATAATCACTCTATAACAAAACATTCACGATAGAAGAAGTAGAAGAAATCGATTACTGAAAATGAATGTCAGAACAATTCGCCTGCTGATAAGGGTAGCGTGTCATTGAGACACGCATTAAGTGAGGTACCAAATTCTTTGACTAAAAATGCTCATGTAAGTCTGAGACAATTTCCATAAACTGGCTCCAAGAGTCTCTTGGTTTGCGAGCATCGCATCGTGGGGAAAGCTTTGCAGCTTATCACTGTCCAGCATCACACATGACCAGATAACGCTTGGAAACCCATCTCCATAGGTAGTGCATGAGTTCTGCTAATCTCTGCCGACAGTCAATCGTAGAGATACATGCCACTTATGGTTGCCCTTCCGTTCCTACCCGGCATTATCACCCTTTTTACTCCCGGTCACCCTTCTCGGGGCCGGTTGTTGGAAGTGCTTGCATATTGGAGGCCAGGGGGAGAGGAAACAAAGAATAAGCAAGGTTAATGTTTCGCTCATCAGGCAAGTATAGATTAATAAACGATACTGTGTCGGAAGGGGAAGTGTTATTTCCATCTTAAATCTCTTCTTATACAGCCTCTAACGACGGTATTCATACGAAGAGTTGGGTATTTGTCTTTCCTAATGAGGGGGAGGGGTCGGCATTAAGGTCAGTATCTGGCCGGTGGGTTCGGAGGACTCCGGGAAGAGCCGCTGGTCCGTGTTTTCGTGAGAATAGAATCAACATGCAGCAGATGAACGTTTTGGGCGATACCCTAAGGCACAGCATTACTACAAGGAGACGATTTTTGTTCTTTCAAGGGTCTTTGGTCAGCAAGATGCTCGCTTCCCCAGAAAGTGAGGATGAACGTCGAACCACCTGATGCGGAGGTCGTTCCACAAGACATCTTTACCAGAGCGCAGGATATAATCATCTGATTGTGACGACGCCTTTTGGTGAAAACAAATTTTGTCTGTTGCGCGTGCTCGCATGAAAAGCATGGGGTAGACAGCGCATCAGGAATTATACAAAGTTGGCACGTCTGCGCGTTTCTTCACGTTGGCCGCACACAAATGATTCCCCCGACAGACCAATTGATGCACCCCCTCACATTGCATTGAAGCTACCAGCGAGCCCCAAGCTGCTTTTCGCTTTATATTGTTTTATATCCCTCTGCATTAATTCGCATTTCAACTATAACCTCGGAAGTCACGCAGCGTCTTCGGAAACTGTGGATCTGGTATCGATATTCCTTGTTTTCCCTCCGGACTCCGTTCTCCCTCCGTACGGGGATACGGACGAATCTTTTGGATCGTAGTTAAGGCAGCTTGGACCATCTGAAACTTGACCTACAGTAGTCACACATTCTGCTGCATTAACAACTCACAATGCAATAGACTCCATATTATCAAACCAACCTACACCGAATTTTGCATCTCACCGCTAGAGTATTTTTACTACCCCGGCCACCTACAAATATCCATCACAAACTACCTGATATTGTACATTTTGCGACCTGACCTGACGTGTTCTTCTCCGTACAACGGTTAGAAATACCGGGTCAGAACCGTCTTTTACTCCCGCAGCCGATTAACGAGCCAACCAGATTGCATTTAATCAATACCGGGTTGCCAAACGTTTCGCTTCGCTTCAGCTCCTCTAGGACCAGATCCAGGCGTCTCAGCATTGGGTTTTATCAGTGGTTTCGCTGCCATTACCCACTAAATTCTGCCTTGGACACCAGTCAAATTTGAAGCCTTTAAGCCCTTAGAAAGAAAAAAAAATTGCTGCAGTGCAGCTCCGAGCTCCCCACTTCAGACATCCTCTCCCAATCATCCTGAAGCTGTTTGCCCGGGGAATCCTGTAGCGTCATCCCCACGATCCGCACTCCTGGGAAATCCTATCCTGTCCAGCCGTCTCAATTCCTTCTCGCTTCATCACCGGATTCCTTCTAAACCTCACGTCGCTGCTGCCGCCCTGGGTGCTGTCCACAATTCTCTTGAAGTGCACTCCTTCCTTGAGTACTTCTGGCAACTAATCACGCCGACCGACGAGACCCGAAGCTATCCCACACTCGCTCGCTCATTGTTTTCGCCTCCCAATCTCCATCACGCACGCGCCTCAGTCCCTTCTTCCCGCCGTCCTCGAGCTTTCGTCACAGCTGCCGATTTGCCGGCACTTCAGTACTTCCTCCATGATCACGGGAAGGTGATTGCCATTTCAACATGGCCTTCAACTTCAACTGGTCGCCGCTAACCGCGGACGCCGACTTCTACCGTCGTGCGCGCGACCTTTTAACCAAGGCCCTAAACAAGAGTCCGAAGCCGCCTATTATTGTCGATGATATTCTTGTCAGCGAATTCAACCTTGGGACCGTACCGCCCGATCTTGAAATATTGGAAATTGGTGACCTTGCAGAGGATAGGTTCCGGGGCATCTTCAAAATGACATATTCTGGTGATGCTTTCCTGACCCTCAAGACACGAGTCCAAGTAAGTAATCTTTTTACTTCCATCTTGGAGGAATCCAGTCATGCTCTGTTGTTCAATTCTTTCCTGAGCTTTGGGGACAATTGCCGAAGCTATATTCCACTCATTGCACATTTTTCTAACACGCCCGTTGTCGAGCTTGACGCGGATCGCCATCCCTTAACCTTCAAGCTATCACAACATCAACAACCGCCCACTATTCCTCTCCAAGTCTCAACCTGCACATTGCTTTATTGCATTGTCGATGCAACCTTCTTTGATTGCGACAATGCGCATTAAACCCCTCCCTCCCCCTGCCAGAATCCCTTGGTCTAAGCGCCCTACCGATGATTTCATCATTGCAATCCCATTGACACTAACATCACAACCTCAGGCAAATCCTTTGAATACATATCTCTACTCTAAACCGACTTTCACATCTCCTCAACCGTTGGCCGCCGCTTCTGGCCTAACAATTCCACTCTCGATCACATTATCTGATTTCAAGCTTTCTGCTTTCATCATACTGGTCTTCTCAAAACAAAAAGGACTAACCCTCGTCTTCCGAAATGACCCACTCGAATCCCTCAAGGTATCCTCTACCTTCGACTCGATACAGTTCGTTCGCGATTACTTGCAGAGAACAATTGAGCAACAACTACGCAACTTGATGATGGATGAATTACCGGCAATTATTCACCGACTGTCTCTTCAATTATGGTGTCCTGATCAGGCCAACAAGGGCACTGAAACACCAGCTGAGAAGGAAGACGAAGCTAGCGTTGACCCTCTGGCCAGCCCTCCTTTAGATCCCGTGGATGCCAATGGCAATCTCCTCGATCCCAATGCTATTTCTGAGCTCACGTTGAATGGAAGTGGAGAAGTCCAGTCACTGTTTTCTCAGAAGAATTTGTTGCGTCTTGCCGCCTTGACCGATTCGCATCGCACCTTATCACTCTTCACTCCCGGTATTCGAGATGTGGTCTTCCGTGCTTGGACAGGTTATGGAGAACGATCAGAAACGTCTACGCCCCTGCTTTCGACGCCCACTCTCACCAAGACCATGTCATTCCACGCAGGCAATTCGACAACATACACCTTTTCAGATACAGCGAGCAACGCACACGGTCACCTCCCATCTCGCCCTTCACTCATCAGTATGAATTCGGCAACGAACGGGAGATCCCTTGGGGCAGGTCGATCACGGACAGGGCGCAAGAAGAAGACACGCGTGGTGAATTTGAGGCGTACCAAATCAGAAGTTACCACCCCAGAGACTGGCAGTGAAGCGTCAGATACGGCATCTGTCGATGTCCCTCTATCTGAGCCCATGATTGACGAATCAATCCCTGAGGAGACTGAGTCGTCTATCATTGCTGAGGCATCCACACCAAATAAAGTTCGCTTTAGAAGCGCGGGTGAGGCAGGACGTCCCTCAGTCATGGCCACTCTTGAGGAAGCTCGGAGGATGGGCTCCCCACTCAAGAACGCTGTTGAACCCTCAGAATCTCAGAACTATCCATCGATCGCTGCTATCACTTCTGAACTGAAGTCCGAGAAGGGCAAATCTCCTGGATTGGAAAACCAAAGCATTAGCTCAGAGACTTCTTCTGTCATCCTTGAACAAGCTTGGATTATGAAGATGGCTGGCGAAATTGCCAAGCGAGTTTATGACGAGAAGAACAGGCAACGTAGCCCTTGGGACGAGCGTGAGGACGCACCACCACCAGCATACGAAGCTGCTACTCAGTAGCGGAAAAGTCACATATGTCAGCACATACAACTATCCTACTCTCGTTAGCATTCTATTTGTTCATTCTTTTTAGGCAGGCGCTGGAGTTTGGAAACTTCGGGCTGAGGAAATGGCCTGGAGGAAGCAATTTTTTATGTTTTTTTTTTGTGTCGTTTGGTGGCGTTGGAAGAGCCAGGGCGAAGGGTAAAATAGGTGTGCCTGGTCATGAGTTCTGACCGGACAGGTTTCAGAGGGGTGGTACTGTTTTTCGTCCTCTATTTCTATGCCACGACACAGTTGTCTGTTTGGACTGGTCGATAGCCCCAGGGGGGTTGACTCATGACGATGTCAGAGTCTTTACAATGTTATTTACAAAATGATAGGCGAGACAGGCGGGGTTTAGACGGTCAGAGAGATCGTTGGGGTATCTAGAAGATATCATGGTATCAAGACCAAGGAACGAGGAACGAGGCTAGTGTTGGTTTTATATAACCGCGTAGTACTCGCAAAACAACTCCAATTCACATTCGATAAACAGATCATGGCTTCTTAATGATTTGATTGAACTAGAATGTGCCATAGAAGATGTGCTTATAATCAAATAGGTATCAATACGCTTCGTGGCGAGTAAAGGGCTGTCTTATCTGAGCACCAACCTCTCTATTATGCGTTCTTAGCTTGATCCCCAGACATGGCTACACCGCGCTCTCGAGCGCACTCAGGCGAGCCTGCTGCAGTCTGCTTGAGACCCCTGAAGAGCTGACTGCTTCACATATGACGTGGCATCTCATGGACATGCTTACATGATGGCCAGCCTCGTCCCGAAGCCACACACAGGTTCTTCGTACCCAGGTGCCTGGTGTAATGTGTGGTACTTGAAGCCTCGTCTTAGCTGTACTGTTCGCTTTCGCTCTGCTTGCGAGACTTGATTCTCTTCCGTCTTGATTTCTTGTGCGTGACTCGGCCATCATTCTATGACTTGGCTGCGGCAGCAGCAGCCTGATTCTCGCCCTTTAATTTCGCAAGTAGTTCTTCTTTGGCTTTGAGCTCAGCAAGTATCCTTTTGGCCATATCCTCAGCTTGTGTCTGCGCATCTGCTAGCTTGCGTATCTCGGCCGCCTCCGTTTCTAGACTGAAAGGCTGGCCTGGTCGGTTGTGCGCTGGTATCATCGCCGAATGCTCCCAGACCTCGTTGCTGTCAGTGGGGAAAGGCGGCGGCGCGCGCGTCTTCCCTTTGCCCTTGCCACCGCTCGGCTTCCATCCCTTAGGTACGGCGCCTTGGGTGAGGAGGTTATAGAAGACTTCGTAGGGTTCGTTGAAGAGCTGTTCTTCGTAGCTCCATGCGCGGATCTCGCCATTCGAAGCGATCATAGCTTGCTTCTCTTCTTCGTTCCGGCCGTAGGGATGTAAACGGAGATAATGGTATAGTGTCTGGGGCTTTTCCCCCGAGTCGTTGACATAGTAGAGTTTGATCGTTATGTCAAACTCACCCCAACCTGTCTCTTCGACTACAAAGGGTTTTCCGGGTTCGCCTTCAACCACTGTTTTCCGTTAGCATCAGCATGTGCAAACAAGGAAAGCCATCTCCTACTTCGTACATAATTAGGGATAGACTCATGAAGTTTGAACTGAACCCGACGCAGCCAGTAGGTAATATCGGTATCGTCGAGACCTTTGACGAAAACCTGCCATGAATGCGTATGGGTGTCAGGGACACCTGCTGGTCGCGGGTTCGTGTCGGAGAAAGGCTTCGCTGTGCTCCCAACGATAAAAGGCCGACGGACTTGCGTGAGCTTAACACGCTTCCCAAGTTGATTTTGGGGCGCCATGTTGTTTTCGCAGGGCTTTCAGCTATTTCTACCGAAATTTTTGTTACCGCGAGAGTATTTTGATGTTGAGAATATTACCAGAAAATACCTACCTAGGTGAGGTTTCACAAAGAGTGGCAAAGAGTCAGCCTCGTAAGACTTGATCAACTTACGCCGCAGTGGCGTGGCCAATAATCGTAATGCAGCCACATCGGGTCTTCAGCCTTGTGATTCCGATGATGATTTCATTGATTCCACCTTACCATCGATAGCTGCACGGCAGGCTGCCAGTGATTGAACTAGAAATTCGATTAGTGCATCACAAAAACATTATCCTCTGTTTTTCCTATTTACTGAAGTTCTTTATCCGCAGCTTTCCGTTTCACATACCTCGATCTACCAGAATCATTCCACCATAGCTCTGAAGAGCTTTGACATCGCACGACTTTTACACGAGCATCACGATGTCGGCCTCAAAGAAGCTTGTTGTTTGCGGAGGGACCGGTTTCTTGGGCTCTCGTATCTGCAAATATGCTGTAGCTCGAGGATGGGATGTAACCTCCATCAGGTATAACCCACATCTATCACAATCTCAAGAGACGAACTCATCTTGTTGCACAGCCGTTCCGGTGACCCTCGGTGGGACACTATCAGCGCCTCGGCTACACCTCCGTCTTGGGCACATAAAGTGAGCTGGGAGCGTGGTGATATTCTTCGTCCGGCTACGTATGCTCCATTACTCAATGGCGCTGACTTCGTGGTACACAGCATGGGCATCCTCCTAGAGGCTGATTACAAGGGTGCCATCTCAGGCAAGGAGCCCCCCATTGCTGGTCTCCAGAAAGCTTTTGCACCCGTTCGTGATCGAGGTGTGGACCCTTTGGCTAAAGGACAAGGCGAGGACATCAAGCCTCCAAACCCCAAGGATCAATTCACATATGAGATTATGAACCGCGACAGTGCAGTCACATTGGCTAAGCACGCGGTTGCTGCTAAAGTGAACGCATTCTGCTACATCTCTGCTGCAGCAGGTGCTCCTGTTCTCCCTCAACGATACATCTCAACCAAGCGAGAGGCCGAGATCACCATTGCCAGCAAGTTCCCAGAACTCAGAGGTCTTTTCATCCGCCCTTCTTTCATGTTTGATAGTTCACGCCCGGTGACAATGCCTCTGGCTGCAATGGTTGGCCTTGGCACAGCCTTCAACGGTCTTACAGGCAACTACTTTAAGACTTTCATTGGTGCGGCGGGAGTCAAGCCTCTGAAGGTTGAGACTGTGGCGGAGGCGGTGGTTGAGGCCCTGGGCGATGAGACCATCAAGGGTGCCATCGACGTGCCAGAGATTGAGGAGTTGGCGAGCAAAGCCTGGAGAAAAACCATGCTGTAGGATATTGCGTGGTATTGTATTAAAAGCAAAGACGCTGGACTGTATAATACTCGACTGGACCAAACCCTAACTTAATATCTTGTTCGTTTCAAATCATTGTTCCTCGTTCAAAGCTATCCCTGATCTCTGCGGTATACTTGTTGTAGAACCGCGAGAGCTTCTGGTTGAACTGCTTATTCTTTTCGTTGATGTATGTCACATCGCCATCGTCCCCGTTCTGTGCCATCCTCTCCTTTCTCTTCTTCAGTCTTTGTTCTTCTGCTCTCTGCAGGTCTGCCACCAAGCGGTCGACTGCTGCCTTGTCTGGCTTGTTTTCAGCAAAAGTCGTAGAATCGGCGGTAGAGTAGAAGGAGCCATCCTTATCCACCGCAATGAGCTCGCCATCCTCGGTCTCAACAATGTCTAGTCCGCCCGATGCCGCTGCCTTCTCAATGAGGGCCTTCTTGTCTTTCTCGTATTGTTCCATATTCATATCGATGTTCTTGAGCTGTCGCTTATATATCTTGTTCGCTTCTTGTGTATGGTCGGCAAAAGCGTTGTTGTCGCGACGAGTCGTCTTCTTCTTGAGGCGTTTATCCCACTTCTCGCTCTCATCGACGGTCCAGTCCCATGCGCGCTTTCGCTCGAAATCTCCACCCGCTTCCTCCACGTCTGCCTTGAGTAGTTTGTGAGATGCGATCGCATGTTTCCGATGTAGGGCGGTAATTTGGCTGGGATCTGTGGCTAGCCTTTGCGATTCGAGTGTCGCCTCTTTCAGGTTTTTCTCCGATGAAGTCTTTGCTCGCGCTTGAAGGGCCTTGAACCGAGCCAGGCGATCTTGGGCTTTGGACATATTGTCAACGTTCATCTGTTGCGCCTCGTCCTTCTTTTCAGTAGGAGAGGGAGCCATGGTATAATTTGCGTCGAGACGGTGTGGCTATAACTGATGCCAGGGTTGGCAGAAGAGTAGCCTTTCGGGTTGGTTGAAGGAAGAAGATTGACCCAGCTGCTGAGAGATCTTGAGCTGATATTTGTACTGCTTGGTTAGGGCAACAATTGCGTCATTGATGCAGATAAGCCTTGTCTGATTTTGACCACTGTTATGTCAAAGATTATAGGGGCCTTGTTGTTTACATTATTGTTATTTGAAGTTGAGACCCAGTTTAGATCACTTGATTTCGCTGTTTCTATCCTCATACGCAAGGCTAATGGGTCACGTGCCCCACCACCCTTGGTTTGAACCAATCAAACCTGCACAAAACTCAACACTGAGAGCTGCTCGTTTATAAAGCAATTGCGTCCTTGAGGCAGATACCCTTAGATGGTTTTCGTACAGTTATGCTGGAGGGGAAGAGGTTATCAAATATAACAATTGTAAGCTTTCTTATGCTTAATAAGATTTTATTCAGAAAATCTTTTGAAATCCATAAATTTCAGTACCAAAATACCAATCTAGCAACACACAGAGGGTGCAGTCAATAGGATACACAATAGGTGTTTTGTTTTTCAACACAGCATAAAACAGGGCGTTATACACTATACCGGAAGATACAATAATCTTAATATTTATTCTCAGTAAATATAATTGATAATACATATACTTACCTTAAAAAACAGCTTGACTAATACACATATACGAAGGGTTCTTTAAAAATAGTGGAGAAAGCCAGTTTTGGGGTGCCACTAGGGCGAGCACCTGCCTAAAGGATGTCCAACCTGGCACCAAAATAAAGTCCGGGCCGTTAACAGCAGGGGTCCTTCTCACTTTGCGGGGGACGTAGGATTACGTCTCAAGGACATTGAAAACATTGCCCTTCTTGCTGAAGAAGTAACTCGCCATCTCTCTCTCTCTCTTTTGCATCGATATTCACCCCAAGTCGCGCGCAGCGGCTCACAATTATTCCGCCGTCGATAACGAGCTAAGGTACCTTAGCACCCATCTTAGTCGCATCTTTGTTGGACTCTGGTACTCCCTTGCCAAAATGCAACGCCGAGCAGCTTCGACCGCGCTTGATGCTGGGAAGACAAAGAGCAAGATGTTTTTGAAAAATGAAACGAGGTGGGGAGAGACATACTATGTTGTTAACAGGTGGCCCGAAACTCCCAAGCTACCTGAAGAACACGAATACTTTCGGATCAACGACCTCCTTCTCGATCTAGACGATATATTTAGCAAACACGTCCGACCATCTTCAGAAGAGGACGAAGAGCGGGCACTCAAGAGATGGTCTCGAGATAACAAGCGAGATGATGTTCGGTGGAAGCTTCACAGAATGGAAGCTTCACTCACCTGGTCACGCATAAAGTCTTTTGAAATGCACTCGGAACCATCTAGCTCTTGGCGACTCGGAAGCCATGACATTTTCTCCGCAGCTCTCCGAGCCCCATCACCAGCTCCACTGATCGACTCCTCAAATAACCAACAAGGATCTGCCAATAATGCAACTGCGGAGAGAGAGCCCAACAAACTCCACCTCATCAGCTCAAACAATGGCATTCCAAAACAAGCCTTGGAGGACGATTCATCACTCTTGCGCTGGCTTCAATCGCGGACGCAATTGTCATGGTCTGGGCAATACCCAGCCGTCTCTCCGTCTCATTCAGGTCAGCTGTCAGCAGCGCTGAGGAAGCAAGACTCACTCACTAGCCTCCGTAGGCTAGTATCACAATACTTGTCAGTTGAAACCAGCGCCATCTCATTTCACCAACTCAAAAGCCCGGGTCAAGAAAAATCAACAGAGAATTTATCTTCAGATCTTCGCAATGCGTGTGAGAACTTCTTGAAGCAAGACACTCTACAGAATAAGCATGATGTTTTGGTGTTCCTCGGTAATCTTGGCCAACGATTGACAGCTAGGGGAGATCACTTGGGAGGCCCTTTATGTGGGCTTGGATTAAGACTCTCAGCAGAAATCTGCAAGCCCACAGCCTCCAAGAGATATTTTCAAATTGGTCTTCAAACTGGTTACTGGACCGGCAGTAACCAAGGATTAATAGACATCCTCCACTGCCTCGAAACCTACCAATGCCACTTCAACAGTGTTTCGCAACCCAACGGCCTTGATCTGTATGGGCGGCAGGAACTCCTAGAGTTATTACTTGGTCGCAGCAGGACTCACAACCATTCCGCTCTGTCTCTTATCAATGCTTGTCTACGTGGGTGTAAACAGGAGACAGCATTCGAGGCTTATCGAGCTTCCATCCTCCTGGTTGGTCATTTGGGTATGGTCGAGTGGCTTAATCAAGAACAACGGACATCAGCAGCAATAATTCAGAGACTAGCCCGCAGCAGCAATTCGAAAGATAAGAAACGTCAACTAGAGGCAATCCTAAGCGAAGCTTTTGAGTCTGCAAAGAGTATAGCCGACACTTCAGTTGTGGCACAGAGCCATGATGCAGTTCTAACAGATCCCAGCCTGGCTGGCGATGTGTGCGAAGAAAAAGACGGGAATCAGTATTGTCCACCTTAGACACTTACATATAAATTAGACCCCTGAGAAGGTACAACTGACAGCTACATGAAAACTTTATTTAAATTGTGTGATGATCTAATATGAGTGTTTATTATCAAGAAAGCCATGAATTTGCTCTTGGCCTTTTTCTTCCCTGATCTCAAACTCTCTGTCACTTTATAAAAGAAACGGTTGGATGGCAAAATCCGTGTAGGACCAGAACTTCCACTTGGATGACGGCTTGTGTCTCGTCTTGAAAGATGGTTCCCGATGAGTGGAAGGGTGAGACGAGGTGCAGGGGACGGAAGCTGCAGTCCAATAAGGGATCACCAGTGGAACCCTGAATTGACTACCGAGCTGATGGTCTCCTTTCCTCTATACGTACATACCGTAGCATGTAGGTTGGTAAATATGTATGCATATTATCAGCCCAGATTGGCCCCACAGAAATAGGACTCATCTTCAAGTCTGGCCATCCAGATCATCAGGATGTCCTTGATAATCTGAACTGAGTAGATTCGAAACAAAGTGACGAGCTCTGGCAAAATGAGTAGTGGGTGCCACCCTGTTCAGCCCTAGGAACCCTCCTTTGCTGTGTGTTCCGAGTCTGCGTCTGAGCTGAAATGCGAGCCCGTAGCACAACTGGATATTCCTATCGTTTTGACTTCTCTAGCTGCATCCAGCTCCTTGGTTCGTGCGAATCATGATCCGCGCTGGCTGTGCTAGCAACGCCCGCCCCTACCACCAGCAGGTTGGGCGCATCCGTCGTCTCACCACCAAAGACCAGCTGGCCAGCAGGAACATCAGAGTTCTGTGCTCTGAATGGTGTCCGCGAACCTTCCTCCCGCATGGATACCCGCTACTTGGGCTGTCCTTGACGCTGTGGATGCGTTTGAGGCGTCGACCTGGAAAGTCTAGACCTCGCAAGGTCAGCCCCGGATATCGTCTCAGCCACCCTCATCTGCCGTTACGCTTATTTGGCAGTGGAAAGAAAAACACGAGATTGGTTTCGCTGCCCTGTACAGCCTTCGCCAGCCCATGTATTTCTGGCCCCCGTGGATCCGGCCAGGCCCCTTGCTCATGATCAGCAAGTGTTGTCTGCCTTAGACTACTCGGAGCAGGCGAAACGAGACGAGACTTAGCAGTTAGCACTGGGGCTGCCGACTTTTCCTCCCTCTTCATCACCTCCGCGATTACTCTCCCTTTTGACGACGATTGCCCAGGTCCCAATACCTCTTCGTTCCTCGCGGTTCGTGATCAGCCAACAGGCCGGGAGAGAGTGTGTAAATGTAGCATCAAGGCGGCAGCCATGATACGGATCTCAATCTCTCCAGCCAGCCAAATTCGCCAGGGCTTGGTTCTTCTATTCTTATTGTTCTCTTGCGTCAACCTCACAGTGCAACAACGAGATCCCATATCAAATTTCTGTCGAAGATGGGGTCATCAGAGTGCTGTGGTTGACGACAAACTTTACATTGGCGGAGGATTGGTTACATATGATGGTAGTTCTGGAACACCACAAAACTTCTCCAGTATGCGAACCCTACTCAATCTCTCACATTCGAGTAACGAGATTTCGTCCAAGTAATGTCGCCGGCCGCTTATTGACCAATACTCGTATAGACCCCTACTTTATCTACCATGATCTCAGCAAAGTAGCCAGTTCAGGCATGCCCCAACCATACGCGAACCTGAGCAAGAACTCGACGGTTCCCGACGTAAGTGGTGGAATCTTCTGGCCCGATACTATCAACAAGAAGATTTATCTCTTTGGCGGCGAATTCAATGGTGTAACCCCTTGGGACTTCGACCTTTATGCTTACGATATCATAAATGATGAGTGGGACAACATGGGAGTCTCTAGGACAGACGATGTTGTCGGGCTCAGTTATGGAGCTGGTTTGTCCATTCCGGATCGCGGAGAGGCCTACTACTATGGCGGATGGATGAACAATGCGACCGACGCGAACTGGGGTGACGCTCCCCAGATACCAACATCATACCTACTGCGATATGAGATGGATACAAACAATTGGTCCAACGACACTGGACCTGACGATATTGGCCGCGCCGAGGGTGTGATGGTTCATATCCCTGCCGGAGATGGTGGTATGCTTGTTTACTTTGGCGGAATCAGAGCCGCCAATGATGGTGGTTGGGAAGGTCAACCAATGGATCAGATTATTCTCTATGATGTTCTGAGCGGGAAAAGTTATTTCCAAAATGCAACGGGTGATGTTCCAGAATCACGTCGACGATTTTGCGCAGGCGCTACGTGGACCAAGGACCAGTCTTCTTACAATATGTGAGTGTATTATCATCAACTTAAGTGCCATCATATACTGACCATGCTCAGTTATTTATATGGGGGAGCTGGCGAGGAGCAGGGAAGTTCTGGATTTGATGACATTTATATCCTGACACTCCCTACCTTCACATGGATCAAGATGTATCCCGAAGGAAACGGAACTGGGGATTACCCTCATCACAGTTTTACCTGCAACGTTGTGAACGAGGCACAGATGTTGATTCATGGCGGTTTCTTCCCCCTGACAAATGACTGCGATGTTCCGGACCAATGGGGTTTACACGACATGTCCCTGGGGCGACAAAACAAGGACAAGTCGCCCTGGATGCTGTACGATCCCGAATTGACTAAATATGCTGTCCCCACTGACATCATTTCAGTTGTGGGAGGAAATCCTACTGGCGGAGCGACCAAGACAGCACCAGCCGATGGCTTCGACCACCAAGATCTGAAAGCCCTCATGACGCGGACGGCGTCGGCAGGATCAAGGACTGCAACCCGAGATGTATCTGGCCCTACTGAGACTGCAGATCATGAAAGTGGAGCGACGTTATCAACTGGTGCGATTGCAGGTATCGCAGCCGGCGGAGCTGTAGCTCTTATTGCCGTGCTCGTGACTTGTTTCTGCCTCATCCGAAAGCATCGACGTCGGCGGGAACGTGTTGGATCACAACAGCCGATGACTCAATCCTACGACTACCATCATCCCCAACATCCATCTTTCGCCTCAAACCAACCTTCCCCTAGCCCTTGGAGTCCACAGTCATCGAATTTCACCCCTTCAAGCCCCGTGGGCTACACGGGCCCGCAACTTGCCCAGTCATATTCAGGACCTCCCGTAGAACTGCCATCTGGGCATCCCGAAGACTCATCTTACGTTTCACCACGTACAGAGTCAGTTTCGGCGGTTGAACCCAAATATGATGCAAATGGAAATCTATGGGTTCCCCAGGTGAGCATGATGCAGATCCCGGACCAAGGCCATTCCCCCGGAAGTCCTCCATACTACGACGGCACGATGGTTTCTAACTCATCGAAGAATGGGCCAGAGTATTTCCCACCCGGTACGCCGCAGGAACTTGCAGCAGAACGTCGCACTTCGTACGTACCTGGGCAACCAGTCCACCAGACGTATTATCATCCATGACTGGTGTTTCTTAAAGACAAAACAAAAGCCTCTCCTTTTGCCGAGGATATAGGCTGAATGTATTGAATTTTCTTAATGTCGGATTACGAAAGCAGGGGTTAGGAGTATTGGGAGGGAACGGCATAACCAAGCAAGCGGGATATTTGATGGTACACCAACTTCGGCACTCCAGGGTCATATTCATTCCCTCGTAGGTCATAAATATAAGTAATTGTCTTCCTAAATAGTAACTTCTTTTCGCAAGAAATGAAGGCAGGATGAATCTATCATCAGTACATAGGTTTGTCCATTATGCAATTCGACCTCGGTGTCTTAGTTGTGACTCTGATGTGAATGTCTCGTTTTTGTGCTCACGATAAGGTAGCTTGAGGTACAATGACCAACCAACTACCAACCTGGTTCCAGTCCGTAACAACCTATGCGAAACGCGCACTCAATCACAGAGTTCGATTCGGTTTATGTCAGATCACTGAATATCGGCGGAAAGGGGCTATGGCATTGTTATCTAGTAACCCCATGTCTGTACAGTTTCATTCTGCCATCGAGCCATCGAGCCCTTAATGAGCAAGGCGGTCATGTCAAGATTGATGATGATCTTCCGTAAACCGTCTATCTTCACAGATTCGTGATACTTCATCGTCGGGATTCGGCATCTATGCTACCACAACGGAATCGTATAAGACTTGCCAACGGGTTGCTACTTCAGACATGAAGTCACTTAGCTGAGAGGAAAGAACATTAGAATTAGAGAGTAACAAGTGAGTCGTGGCGCGTTCACGTGAAACGAGAGGCTCTGTACAATCAGAAAGCCAATTGTAATGGCTGCTTAATCTTCATTCACCGCTTCGTTAGCAGTCACAGCTGTCATGACTTCTCAAGGTCTCAGCCGATCCTGTCACATCATGGCAGATGGTGCAATTATGATCCACCCAGCGGTGGTAGTCTCCTTGACATTGGCAAGATTGGGTTCTCTACGGGCCTCGATCTATTTTATCATGGCTAGGTAGTGAGGATTGTCTCTCAATGTCTTAACCCTTGAATGGGAACACCGGATGAGATCTTGAAGCTTCCGATTCGTGCTGCATTGGTCTCGAAAGGAGAGGCTATTGCAGTTTATTAGTTCACGTCTTGAACAAAGTCTATTCGAATAGAGAGGTTCATCTGACAAACCAGCAAACCGAATGCTGAGTAGAATCTCTTCACCTAACATGGATAGCAAGCCAAGTCGCGAGAGATCAGCCTGATGAAGACCATTATTTCTCTCTCAAGTCTCACTCATACTTCTAGTATTCCAGGTGTGGTGTACATTCATAAGCCATCGCTTTTAGAACTAACACGATTCACCACCGACCAACCTCTCTGGTTGTGTAATATCATTACTCTCTGGCGCATGAAATGATACCATAGTCTAAACCCTTCTCTGTACAATGATCCTGTATTAGATTTTGTCTTCGGGCCGCCGAAGCTTTCAGCCTACGTACAGTAACCAAATGCAGGCTATGGTGTGACGTGACGTGATGAGACGAGCGTAATCCTAGGCTGTTGCAGCAAAGGGTTGATAGTGTCATAATGTACCGCCTCATAGATTTACATTAGCGAAGTACCGAATGCACTCGATAACATGGGGGCTCACGCTTCGGTCGTGCACCGAAGTGACGATAGACTGTGTGATCTACATTGAAGAATTGGACTAAGGGCACAGAGTCCCCTCGCGATAGCAGCCCGCCTATTCCTGTCGTCGATAACGCAAGAGAAGGACTGGAGAACTATGCATGGAGTCATATCTATTGGCTAGGTCTTTTGAGGTCCTACGGCGCGTGCTCAACTTTTGGTCCCTTGATCGCCAGCGTGGGGTAGTTTAGTGGGATGGCGTAGACACAAAGTTAGTTATCAGGCACGGTGCGGTGCGGAGGATCAACAGCTAGGCTACCGCCCTAACAGCTTCACCCCCATCATGAATTTCACTTGTGAGGAGGGACAATGACAGTTGAGAAATAGGCAAGCACGAGGTCCCTACCCTTAACCAGAGGGGTCCAGCTACATGCGGTCGATGAGTAGTTACAGGCTCGTCATAAAAGTAGTGTATTTGGGTGGTTGCATGGGGACAATACCCTGTAATCCCGGAGACAGTTAAATCATTATCAATGAAAGGAGATAAGCTTGGTACGCTGCGACAACCAGGAGGTCTTGGTGTGTCTGGACAAGCTTACCCATGTCAAATAGGTCTCTAGTTGACTGGAAAAGTCATATAAACCTCAATACAGTATCACCAACATCCATACCAGGATCACACGATAACAAAACCTCAAGACGGTCATCATGGTGTGGTAGGCTGAGATCGACAAGATTTCCGCTGCACAACGCTGGCCTGAGCTCAAATATATTTGACTGATAAGGCGGTTAATTGTGTACGAAATATTATTAAATCCTCATGAATTATCGTATCCACTTTGAACAAAATCTCGGATGACATCGATAAAAGCCGAGCCATAGTATGATGTCTGATGCTTGAACACTTACCCGATACCTGGACTTACATAGCATTACTTTTAGAGAGTACCGATGAAAGGCTATGTATGTCCGTTGGCTGAAGAAGGGTTGATTCCTTTTTCACGACTAACAAATCTGTACTGGACCATTTTCTTTGCGCCGAAGCTATCCGACCGAGCTTGAACTTGAACCAGCGTGCGAGAACGACTGGCCCGTGTGTCCAAATGATGCGATCAAATCGTGACTGGGATCATGGGTCTTTGATAAACCGCTCTGGATTGGGCGGCAATGAACCTGTCACAGTGACGCAGCAGCTTGGTTCGAGAACACCGTAAAGAGAAGGACGCAGAAGAGGAAGAAAAGAAATCATCCATCTCCTTGCTTCGTGGTGTATCCATTGGCTCTAATACAGCTGCGAAGGAGCTGCTAATAATAAAGCGACTCCGCAAGACCGAAGCGTCGTGGGCTGTTGGTGAGCCTCAAGTGGAGTCTCTTGACCTTGAAGGTGAAAAAAAAAAAAGACGGTTCCTTACATGAAATACAAACCTGGACGCAAGGCAAGCAAAAAATGCCAACCGAGAGATACCTTGACTGCCTCGCAGGTGAGAAGTACCAAACGAGCTAATTGGCTTGTCATGGTACGCTTGAACCCGAATGAACATCAAATACGACCCTGACGGACCATGGAAGGTTCCATATTCTCATCGTTATAAGTGGCAGCTATGAATGTATTATTTTGTCTGCAGCATCCATTGAACATCCAAACTGTGACCAGATTTGACTACTACAATCAGGGCTCTTAGAGATTTGGCACTGATGGGCCTCATTTTGACAGGACCGTTGCATCTAACTCCCCTTATCATGCCATTGCAGTCACAAGCCCCGGATTAGCGGGAGTTATCAAGAGGAGCCGGCCAACGGAATCAGTTCCTAGGCCAAGACGAAACGCACGATGTGAGGTCAATGGAGCCCGGACATGCTGGCATTGAAGTTCCCCACATCCCACGCGGCTTCTCAAGCCTAGGTGCCTCTCTGATTGCCGTCGACAGCGGTCAAGGTGCAGTGTAACAAAGAGCCCTTTACGCATCGAAATGCTCGATGAATCCAATGCAACGAAGCAGTAGCTTCGGGGCCGAGTTCAATGGAGCGAACTGTCAACGTGCGGAACTCATATGAATTTAGTTTGATATAGGTCCACAAACTGACTCAGCTGAGTATCTCAACCCCCAGATAGAGCCTCTAGTTGCGGCGTCGATGGACCGGACCCCACAGACTAATTCCTCCATACCGGGGAAACAGCTTGATACGATAAGGCACTTTGCCAAACTGGTGAACCGTTCAATCAGAGAGCGGGTCAGGGCAGCACTGCTAATGACCCTCGATCAGCCGATAGCGGATGGTCAAGAGGCGGAGGCAATGACAAGAGTCAAGACCCTTGCGAGAGACCATGAAGAGGGGAAGCTGGTGAATTGTAACTTCAGCGCCTGTCCATCACGACGGGGCTCCGGCCTCCGGGCTCGGTCGTTGCAGGCGATGTTTCGGGAATGCAGCATAGCATAACACTGTTGCCTCATCGACTTGGTGTTACCTATATGCGCTTGTTTCAATGCGTGATAACGCAGCGCATAATAGAACGAATCGAGAAAATCGACACAGGCTTCGTGGACTTTACGTAGGTCCTCCTACAAGCTGAGTGAGTGTTTGGATAGTGGAGTCCTTGGCTACCTTTGGTTAGACATGACAGAAGCTTGGGGCGGTGGACTAGTGCGAATCTAACGATGGTCCTACTATCCAGTAATACCGGCAGGCACCTTGAAGGCTCTGGGTAGATTCGACCACATGGGTTGGAATACTCATCATGGCAGCCATGGGCATAATGAACTACGTAATCTCCACTGTTATGTGTCAAATCTTCACCAGGTTAGCATGTGAGGACCACTGCAGATCGATGACTGCCACACAACCATGCATGTTTCCCCTTGGAAGCACCACATGGTTTGTTTGATAGGCGGTCTTATCAATACCTTTTGCTTCTTTCTCGGGGACTTTTTTCCACGCGTGTACCACCCATTGGATGTTAAGGGATGCACATCATCAGGGCAGCTAGAACTTGAGCCCCTCCTTGGCTTAGCGGCCTTCTTCCCGCACATACAAGATGTGCCGGCCCGCGAAGCTTTCGGGAGAATCACTTAGGAAGAACGTCATTTAGGGTGGGCACCAGAAAACCGGATTAGCGGTATGTCAGGAACAAGACTGACTTCTGTTGCGTAATTGATGGAGCGTTGCGATGCAATTGCTCCAGAGTCCGACAACACACATATCGAGACAGCGAAACGTGCCTCGTACGGTGGACAAGACAAGCTAATAAGTTCCATAGCTTGGGGCCTATTGTGGGCTTTGTGGCTGGTGCCTGAAGCTGCAGTACCTACCTGGTAGGCCAGTAGGTAGGGGTCAAGCAAAGACTTCTTGCTGCCTACCATCCTGGGCGAGTTTCCTCAGTTCAACTCGCTCAGGCAAAGAAAACCTACTTACCTCAGGTGAATTCAATCCAGACTTAGTCACCTTGGACTAATTTATTTTGACACCTTGCCAATAAGGTGAGGTCTGTATCGTTACCAATTGTGCCATAGCATGGTGTGCCATCGTCACCTGCCCCCCATCCTGGCAGCCGAGACTCGATGGCAACCAAAGCGACTATGAATTGCTCTCAACTTTCCGCAAGCAACCCCACTTTTTCTTTTCTTGAACCCTTGAAGAAAGACCCTTTGGAAGGATGCCAATGGAAGATAACGAGTAAAGGTACCTAACTACCTACTAACGCAGAGGCCCCCGCTCTATTAAAGATACCTCCTAGCTGCTAGCATGTCGCTTAGTACCCACACCAGCCGGCTTCACTCTCACCCAGAAGTGTTTGGACAGATAGATGCGTGCCTGGCATTCGCCCACCCGTGATGCAACATAGCGTCGATTGGGACAAGCAGAGGGGAGATGCATGATCTGTATAGGCTGTTATTCCCCTTCACAACACTCAGCGCTTAGCATGATAAACGGCAGGTAAGGCCTCCAAGCCGCCCCTCATTGAGGTGCGTGCGGCATGGCTTTCTGTAGGTGATGACGAGATATGGCTGATTGATTTTGTCAAGGCAAGGTTATCATGTGCCGTGCTTGCGCTAGATGCGCTACGATGACCTATTCTGTTGCTTTGTTGCCAATGCACATTGACATGTCCCTGGTTCGCACCTGATAATGCAACCCTATTGCCGTTCCCCCATCAGATGGCCAGAAAGAGTTCTTGCTGGTGGTTGTTTATCTAACTCATCTAACTACCTAAGCAAAGTGACCGCATACAAGAGAGCCCTCTTCCCCAGAGATAGCTGAGCTGGTCCGTGGTGACCCAAACATCCTTTGTTGAATCTGAGCCTTCCACTGTTATCCATAATCTCACCAACTTACCCGTGCGAGGGCTGGTCAGCATCCATCATTCAATCTACAGACAATACTAAGCGTTATTCCCTTCTCCCTCATTACTCGTTGTTTCCGGGCACACTATCACGTTTGCTGAGAGTGTGACGACGTCTGCGGACATCATATCAGTCAGCCTGAGACAGACTGCACATCCTCCAACCTTTTTTAACTGAATACTCACGCACTGCCTCTGTCTCGCGACTTACGCATACGTCTCCATACCTGGGGGTTACTTAGTAGCCCTCGATTCCCCTGGAAAAGAATACACACTCGCGAGGGCTTGGAGTCGCCAACTTCATAGAATCTCATATTTACAGGTACTGCGCCTGTTGTTGGGAACTCCCTTTTCTCAGTGTCGGCCAGTCCTTGTTCTTGTCAGAGGGAGTCAGCGTACGGGGTACCCTGAGAGCATCCTCTATATCGCACCTTATCCCAGCTGTCGCGCAATCCGATAGTCGCAGCTTTCAGGGTCGATTGCGGCGGGTTATTGGCTGACTTATTGCGGGCGTTGCATCTCCGCTTTCGGCTCCTCGCTCACTCATACATTCAATCAATCACGACAACCAAGGCCCAAGTCCCCAGGTGTCTCCAACTCTGTCCCTTATTTATTAAGCATTGTGTGCCCCGAGCTCGCCCACCTGAAAGAAACCAACGTCCCGTCTGTTCCATCGAGACAATAAGCTGTCTCTCGGACTCATTTAGCCAATATACCCACCTTGTCACTCTTCTGCGTGCCTTCGAGCTCCCCAACGGACAAGTCAGCTATAAACGCTAATAAAGCGGCTCTTCCTTAAACTGCCCATCAACTACTGGCTATTGATTCGGCTAAAATTGGCTTACACGACACTTATACGCCTGGTTCCTCTTGTTGGGCTTCACGAATCGACATTCGATTTATACATACCGCCTTCTTCCGTGACCGAACAAATTACAGCACGGTATCTACTCCACGCGGCGGATCTTTCGTCAACATTCCGGTTCCTGTGCGGTAACGCATTATCGAGTCAAACTCTCACCAGTGGATTTTCACCAGGAGGAAATTTTCTTCTCATCGAGATCTAAATTGCCCAGACTTTCCCAACTTGATCTTGAGTAGAAAAGAAAACTGATATCAATCCATTCATCCTTCACCTACACCGGATATTTTTGTCCATTAGGAAGATCTGCCCTACTTTTGAGTCAGTTAGTCTCAGTTTGTTCAACCATTGTTCGTCTCCATCTACAACACTCGGGGAATTTATCGCCCTGTCGTCCTTGCACATGCCCATGCGCGTTTTCGACCACAATTTGCCACTTTGTTGCACCCTGCTATCACACAATTCTGGAATTTCTCCAGACGCGGTCAAGCTCGAGGAAAAAATTTGCAACCGTTTCCCTTTTTCTACCCCTTGTTAATCGAATCAAGGAGTAAGGTTAAGGGGATCTTTGGAGCCTAGTGCCTCGATAAGAACCCCCGCAGTCGAACCACACTGAAAGGGCGTTTCTCAACCTGACCGCAGCAGCCCCAACTGCCCTAAATATCTACACTCTCCACTGATTTACAGTGGTACCAAGTACATACGGTGAAGGCTGTACTGGTGCTGTACTCATATCATATCACCTGGCCCCCCTTCTCTCAGGATCTTTTGAGGACTGTTTTTTTCTTAATCAACTTCTCCATCCTCATCCCTTCATATTTTGTTTGTTCAATTATACACGATGCATCACAGTCGGAAGAAGTCGGGCCATGGTCTGCCCAATTCCTCTGCGACCGACGTGCGAAAAGCAGTTACCGCGACCGATCCTGCGAAGTACAAGAGGCCCGTCATGACACGAAGGCACACACCACAAAAACTCGGTCGCAGTCAGCGCGAACGTGAACGTGAACGGACAGAGTCTTGGGAAGATGAAAGGGAGAGCTTTCCACAATTTTGGTAGGTCTCACGTTACCCCATGGTGTTTCTCGATGCTTCCCATGAGTATCATGAGGCTTCTTTGCTTCTAGCCCACTGGCAGTGCTGTCATGTCCAGAAATCATACAACAAAGCTACCGTTTTAGCCATGGCGCCTCATCAATTCCTATGGATGAAGTAAGAGTTTTGCTGACATTGTTGTTAGTATGACGTGCGAAAAGCAATTCATCCCTCATGACGACATGTTTCTTTACTGCTCCGACAAGTAAGTTCTAATTCCATTAGTGGTGGACCTTGTCCTGCCTGCCTGCCTGCCTACTTGAACCATAGTGGTCCAGGATGATGCTAATAATACACTGCAGCTGCCGCAGAGTTGATCAGACCGCATCGTCACAGCCGAGCTCCTCGGTCCGTCATTACGCGTCCTCAAACTATCCATTCCATTCTGCGGGAAACCCGGAGCCCAAAGACATCATCCCTCGAGCATCTCCTTCACGGCCCAGCTCCATGATTTTGAGTTCTCCACCAGCCACTCCGGGAACCGGAGTACCGAATTTCCAACATACTTCAGCCATTTCGGCTCTCCGTTCCCTCAATGTCCGGCCTCCGAGCCCTCCGTCGCCTACAGGCAGCTCCAGCAACCTGTGGCCCTTTAGCCGCAGTGCAGCAACCAGCCCATATAGCTCGTACAGCCGGCCTTCTGCCCCATATCTGTCATCGACATATGACGGAGGTTACTACGGCGCTGGAGGTAGTGGATACAATTACGAGGCAACATCAGGCGGCATGGATCGGCCACTCCCTTCTCGCCATCCCAGCACCTACTCTCGGCCCAGAAGCATCGAGCTTGTGACACCCATGGTCAGTAGATGATGGGTGCGCTCAGCTCTCTAGCCATGAGCGCCTACTGCCCTACGAGTCTGTACAAACATCAGTACATTTGTGGAACTCGAGAACAGCTTGGAAGGGCTGGTGGCACAAGCGAAGCTAAATGGCGAGTGTTCTGCTGGACGAGCGGTGTCTCACCTCACGGCCGGGTCTTCGGTCATGAACCCCGGCGAGATTGGCCTGCCCAAACAGGACCGCAAAATTCTAGCTTTGCGGGGTTTGCATCAAGCTCACAGGGGTTATTCAGCGCCCTTGCAACCGGGGCTGAAAGTTGAGCAAGCTGGACATTCAGAAAACAAGTTCCTGGCCCTCATTTCGTACTCGGTATCGAATAGAGTACAGTACGCAGTACATGGGTCGGTATGTTTTTGTTGTCCAGATTTATTGTTTCCTTTTTCACATTGCATATTCGGGGACGGTGCCTACCGACCGTCTTCCTGGCGCTCAAAAGTTTCTCTCTTTTCGCATCTACAGCATTTATCAATCTCACAATGGGACGGAGTTTACCATGTTAGTTTTCCATTTTTATATCCTCCATATAATTTTTGCTATTAGACCCTCTATGGGGCTGTTGGTTATTTAACACACTTGGCAAGCCCTTGCCTCATCGATCTGTTCTGGACACACTTCTCTGCAGACAGATAGCTCGTCAGCCCCAATTTGAAACAGAGCATGGGTTGACGCCCAGCTTTCTGCGACGAGTTAGGTGTAAGACAATGGCTGCTTGGGCGAGGCTGGGCTTGTTGCGTTTCTTCTTATCTGTATATTGATTTCCATTACTATGAGGGTGGGTTCACGCTCTGGCACGGCAAGGCAAAGCAAAGCAAAGCAAAGCAAAGCAAAGCAAGGCACGAGACGACATCATCACACGGCATCGCGACGAAATTATTGGCATGAGCAATGGCATTTAGCGAGCGGGTACCTGGGCAATTGTATAATTCAAACTTTTTCTCTTTTTGGCAAGCTTTCTTGTGGTAACAAGTTGGACTCAGCGAGGGATGCTTGAGCAATACCATACAGGCATGTATAAAACCATATCATATTCATATCTTTCTATAGGTAGTCAGCAATGGAGGGTCAACAGTGGTGAGGTCTATTTTCTTCTTCTTTTGGCATATATATACACATACATCTAATATAGAACAACGAATAAATCTAGTGACTCAATGAGGCACCGTTACTTCACTCATTGTTTCCTTGTTGACATTTTCTGTAACTAGATTAGCCTTGGCGACCCCTCAAACCGTGAAAGGTCTCCTCCAGTTTCCCCTGTCTTTCTCCACGCTTTGATCCCCGGATTTTCATTCTCCACCCCACGCCATGCCAACACTAATGCCAGTGCAACCAGCCGGCCCCAGCCCCGACGATGGAATTTGTCAAGGTTCTGCGTAACAGTTCTTGTGATGTATGGCGCTGGCACGGGCGCAGAAGGTGTGTCATGCGCACCAGAACGCGAGGTCTCGCTGGAACATTCGCCGAACTGATCGTTGTCAGGCTTGGGAGTCCAGCAGATTGAGGAGAGCTGAAGGCGTGAAAGCGAGACGGATCACAATGCGTAATCGCGGAATGATTCGAGATCTCGCCGAAAGTATCCAGAGCATTTTTTTTTTGTCTATACAACCAACTGAACGCCTCGGTGACGCTCATCTCTCCATGGTATCTGCTATAAAACTACTCCTTGTGATGCCAGCATCTTCCCCGTGGCTTATTTCAAGTTTCATCTACTGCAGTCTGGTACATCAAGTCACTTCCGACTTCTTGATCCTCATTGGCCTCAATCGCTCAAACTAGTCGATCACTCTACCATCCCTATGGTAAACTTTATGACAACGCATCAAGGCCAGGTACGTAACATCTCATTTGCAGATCATTGTCAAAGGACAGCCGTGTCTCAGATCCTATTGCATTCTTTGTGATATGGCCTGCATCTGCCACCTGTTCAAGGTTCATTCTTGCAGCGGCTTCTTCGCGTCACACTTGGATGTGACTTAACTACTATTTTCCATAGGTAACTCCAGCTTGCCGAGTGTGGATTATGTACATCTTTGTATTAGAAAAGGCGAACAATAAATGTCGATACAGACCCTCTGTGGATCAAGGGGTCTGGTAATCATTGCTGATTAAATAGGGACGCCTGGTCATATGCTACTCTGGATTCAGCTACAATAGATGCCGATGTGCCATGATCTCAGACACATGATTCCGTAGATGACATATTCGTTCATATGTGCTGTGAAATGAATGGTACATGTGTGACGTGCTCGTTACGAAATACAGTTTGACCCTACATGTTAAGAATGTTAGTTTCACAAAGTCGGTGTGATGGACCCGAAGTAAAAGTCGGAGAAATATTTTAGTTGTTTAATAATGTTCACAGTTGAAAGATGGCGTGGCTGGTTACAGTAATGGTATGGGATCAAAACATAATATTCTCTAGCCTCCACGACACAGGTAGCAAATGTAAGCAGCTACCTATGCAGCCTATCCATGAGGTTTTGAAAATCGAGAACTCCGGCAGACTAAAATATCGGCAATAAATAGTATCTCTCATGTCTAGCGCATGATTTAACATGCTGGTCTCGTTTCGTATAGCCTACCTCCGTAGATCCCCTGTCATATCCTCGTTCTCGCTTGTTCTAAGAAAGGTGTCTGGGCACCTCTCCAAGATGTCCAAGAGCATATATGCATCATGCGAATTTCAATTCATCGAGCCAACGACGCGCAGCTCTCAGCATCGATAATTGGATAGTATAGAAAAGGGTGACTGAGCAGAACGACCACCCGGTGTTTTGAAATAAATGGCAATCCAACTCCTGAGTAAACCCCCCAATATTTTGTATTCGTCACGCGAACCACACAGGCATTCTCAAAAGACCTGCGCACGATCCCTCTCCCCTTCTGCCCCTGCCGGTTACCTGCCCGCTGGCCTTGAGCTGGCCATCTCACCATATCGTCCACGATGCTTCGTGGTATCGTATGCTTGGAGCACACGTGTTTGACTCTCGTCTGCTTGCGAGAAGGCATATCCGCGTTGTTTACGCATACGTTGCACTTGCCGCACTTTCCGAATTGCTTTCTGAAACTGCTCCATTCTGAGGTACGTTAGTCTCGATAGTTCCATGGTGTGGCGAGGAATCAACTAACCTGGGCCGATAGTCCTGAATATTGTACTTCTGGATTTCCTGGATGTGATGGTATGTCTGTGGTCGGTACATACGCTTCGCATACTTCCAGACAAAGTCACGCAAGAGGCACATAATGGCGAGGCAGACCGTTTGGAGCCAAAACACGGGGCTTTCGTAGATCCTTGGTATGGTACCGAAGTACTCCATGGACACGCCTGCCATAGGCGCTACGATACCATAGACGGCAGTAAGCACGTACCAAATGGCCATGCTTCCAGGTATGGCGAGGACATGGTACTTGGTCCAGTTGTTGGTGACAAGAGCAGCCTTACCTAGGACGGTGAGGAGAGTGGCACCGTAGAGCGCCGTGCCCCACACCCAATGACCAGCAATCTTGCCATCTCCTTGGATAAGGTCACCGTACCAGAAGAGCTGCGCCCAAATGTACAGCACAATAGAATGGTAGATAGCGTTGCCTATCCACTGTGTGAAAACTTTAAATCGAAAGAAGTAGTTCTGCTGGCCCATCATGTAAAGCTGGGGGTATCGATCCAGCAGGCGAGCCGAGATGAACTGATCCAGAATACCGAGCGCTAGAGGGGGTAGAACGGTGTAAAAAACGTTGTAGAAGGATAGTGTCCATGACTCGTAGATAACCTGACCGGAAAATACGTTTTGGAATGTGTACTGCCAACAGTATTAGCCATGGTTACACACACTCGTGGTTTCGTGTCATACTTACCCAGAATTGTGTCATATATAATGCGATGTTCTTATAGAATGAGAACAAAATCGTCTTCGTGACACGCTGATAACTCCATGCGCCATGAACCAACAATAACTTTCGGAGAAAGCGGAATTGAGCGATAGCAACATCCGCACTTCGTGCGGCCTGAAGACCTTCTTCACCACTGATACCAATGCCAATATGTGCAGCTTGAATCATGGAGACGTCATTTGCTCCATCGCCAATAGCGAGAAGAATGGACTCCTTTTGATACTTCTTGACCAGCTTTACAACAAGGGCCTTTTGAAGAGGAGACACGCGGCAGCAAATGACAGCCTTGCACATAATGGCTAAGTCAAGGAACAGTTTTTCCAAATCCTTTTCGAGAGCGAATGTCAAAGACTTTCCATCAATGATCAAGGCTAATGTTTCTGTTTCGATTGTGCCATCTCCCTGCGTCCTGATGGCATCCATCTTCTTCTGAATGTTGTCTCGTGTAGCAGCAGCCGTTTCCTCGTTAACGATCAGAAGCATCATATCTTCGCTGAGGAGCTTGCAACTCATCCCGATGTTAATGGCGGTTTCTTGACGATCTCCAGTCAAAACCCAAACTTTAATATTGGCCTGTTGTAAAGTGTGAATTGTCTCTGGAACGCCATCCTGAAGGCGATCCTCGATGGCAGTTGCGCCAAGTAAAAAGAAGTCCTTCTCGATAATTTCCGAAGCCTTGTCCACTTCCTCAGCGCGGTTGCCGCCAACGGTCATCTGGGCAGTATCGTAAATCTTGTACCATTCCTGAAACTCATTCTCTGGGATTTCTCGCATAGCCAAACATAGCGTTCGCAGACCTTCAGAGGCGTACTCTTCAAGATGTCGGAGTGTAACTTCCACATGCGGATTCTGATCATTGAGTCGTTCGAGAATGACGGTGTCGGCACCCTTACAATAGCATCGAATCTTTCCATCCGGGCATCGGTAAATAGTTGACATTCGCTTTCGAGTCGAGTTAAATTCGCAAACAGCAAGAAGTTCATATTCAAGTTCGCGGCCATTAGCATCGATGATGACCGACTTTGGCTTTCGAGCAGTGAACTTGAACCCGAGATCCAGGGCACCAGCGACCAAAGCGCCTTCATCAGGAGAAGCAGCTTGGTACTTGATACCTCCTTTCTCATCCATTTCCGGAATGACAGTATGGCAAGTTGCGAGCAGTGACAAGAAGTGATCGATGGCAGGGGCAGTCTCGTGTCCGTTGGCGAGGTTAGCCTTGAGCGCCTTGTAATCGAAAAGACCGACTTCAACGCCGTCAACCATAGTTGGACGACGATCCTCTGGCACATCTTCTGAGTATTGAATTCCGGCAATCGAACATTGCTTGAACTCCATCTGATTACAGGTGAGGGTTCCAGTCTTGTCTGAGAATACGTATTCAACCATGCCAAGTTCTTCGACCAAGCTTGACGTTCGGCAAGTAGCAGGTGTATCGTTCTTATCGTAGTACATGTCGAGATCATCGTTGATCAGGATTCCATGCCAATATTTCACCAACTCCACGGTGACGAAGAGAGAAATGGGAACCAGTGCCGAAAACAGAACCCAGTATGTGACCATGTCCTTGAGGAATGTTTGAGTGATTTGACCAGCAGTGTTGGTGGGATCCAGGAAGAGATAGGAGAGAGCATCGCCTTCGACCTTCCGCTGGATCAAATCTCCAACGGTACACACGATACTCAGAACTAGTAAGATACCTACCAATAAGAGGACAAGCATGTTGAGTTTCCTCTCAACCTTGGTACGCTTAATAGGAGCAGCAGTAGCATTTCGCATGAGTTTCGTTTCGTGGCCAGTAAACACTACAACACCGTGAACCCAAGGCGTGTTTCGCAAAGTAGCACCTCTGAGAAGGAGTTGCTCTGGATTGAGAGCAAATTCCTTTTCTCCGCCTCCAGTCTGCATTGTCAATGTTGCCTCATATGTGTAAAGACTACTATTGGGCTGTTCCGACTTGATACGTCCTCCCAGCCTGCTAAGCTCATTGGGTGAAACCATTGAGGAAGTTTCTGGCAGCCCTTGTTTGATCTTGAGGTTTGTTTCACCATCAAGGTTTGCTGTTTCGATATAACAGAGACCTTCGGGCTCAGAACTAGCCAGAAGAACTAAATCAGAAGGGAAAGGTTCTTCCGATTCCACTCGTATTATGTCTCCGACGGCCACATTGATCCACTTCGTTTCCTGGAAAGTTGAACCTCGTAGGACCCGCGCTTTAGAAGTATTGAGAGCATTATCGGCTTGCTTTCTGCGGTAGTCCTCGACCAATTCCTTGACGGCAGATATAATAAGCACCACTATGAGGGGTGCAATAGTTGTGTAGGGGTTCGTTGGTGACAGATTGGGAATCTGCTGAAGCGCGGCAGTAAACAAGAAGAAGATGTTGGCAAACTTTGAGAATTGCTCGTACAGAAATTTCGGTAGAAAGGTTGCGACGTTGTATTTCGCAGTCGAGATATGGTTATCAACATACTTGTTGGCGGCATTGGCTGGCGGATTATTAAGGTATATGAGTCGAGGACCAAGGGTTGACGGATCCGGCTTCGATCGGCCAAATCCAAACTTGAAGTTACCCATATCAAACCTGCCCTTCTGAGCCTGCTGCGGTGGCTGATGAGAGTTCCCTCCAACGGAATCTCCTCGTTCATGGCCGGGTTCTGTCAGAGGCAGATCCATCTCTGAATATCCTTGGCCGAGGCCTAACCTATTCTTGACTTTACCAAGAAAACCTCCACCAAGGCCCAAGACGCTGTTTCGATTCCGCGCGTTGTTCCTACCAAGGCCCGGGGTAGTCTCGTCAACTCTTGCCCCTCCATCTTGATGATAGTACGAGTCGCCATCGACGGGATAATCATCGAAGTCATCAGCGTAGCGTTGGTAATTGCCGAGTTCGGAAGTCTGGCTATACTGTCTCGTAAGGTAGGGATTCGAACCTGGACCAGATCTGGGCGGTACACCTAACCCGCCGGCAGGTTGTGCGGTCGAAGCATGATTCGCGTCTCGAGCACCGACGAAGTCGTCATAGGACACAGAGGTACGTCCTGGTGGGGGGTCTTGATTCTGTTCGTGAAAGCGCATCAGGTCGTCATCGTTGAGATTGGAGCGCTGTCCGCCACTGTAAACAGGTTGGTCATTGTCGAGGTCGAGTAACAGATCGTCGCGATTATTCGAGTGTCCCGTATCGAAACCTCCTCCAGGCGGTCGCCCAGCCATGGCGGCGGACAGTTGAAGGCTAGACTATCGACTGGCAAAGGCGGCTGCCAGCATGCGGATTTTATGAAATGACGTTGCGCGATGAACGGTTCGATCGAGCAAGTAAAACTCAATTATTTGATGTCGATACGATGCGATGAGGTCGAGCGATGTGGGAGGGTGCCAAGCGACAAGCTGACAGCCAAGGCAATGGCAGATGTAGACGGTGTCGTGTCGTCAACTCGTTAACTCTAATCGAATGGGCAAGTTGTCAGGTAAAGTAATCACTGTAAGCTTGCCCCGTCCTCCGTAGGATGAGTGTCTGTGAATCCAATCCTTCTATGGCTGGGATTCGGTTGAGTGCCGTGGTGACCGGATTGCACATGCACAGCCTCCTTTTACCATGCGCAAGCTTTCTATTAGACGACTCGATTGGAGACCGTGCGGCGGGACGTTGGACGAGGCTCAAAAGACTGGGCTGTGGCCAGCTTTCAGTCTTTGATTGGCCAAATCGACTCCTGTCAGAGGCCTTTGAAGCGTATGGTTTAGGGACTCTGCCTAGCTGAAGCAGATGCGGCGAGTCAATAAAAGCCAATGGATCTTCCCTCTTTTGTTTTTAAAGGTATGTAGTAATTAGGAAAGGTATTAGGTAGAGATCAGGGGACAAGAAGGATTTTGAAATACGACAAAGCGGGTTGCTATTGAGAGCTCCAGCTTGGGGGCTGGCGCTGTCAGATCCAGTTGGATTTAGTGGAGGTTCACAGTGCTAAAGAAAGGATACTCAGGGGAACGATACTTAGGAGTCTCCCATAGAAGAACCCTGCCAGTATGATAAAAAAGATCAACAACTCGCCATAGGATCACTTCGGCTCACTAGCGATTCAACGTTTAATGGATATTTGTTCATGCCCACAGACAGTTGCTTTTTCGCATTCTGTCTTTGGCGTGGAAGGGTCCTTCGGCTAGCAAACGCCTCTTCGCAAGTGCTACTCCACGTCCGCTTATTAGCTCTAGTTCGTCATATTGTTTCTATTCATGGCTAGGTATGCTGTCAGCATCAACAGGCAAGAAACGAGCCACCATCCATCAATATGCCGCCCAGTGCCCACAAGCCGGGTCCGCAATTGCGGAGGAGAGTGCATAGGTATTTCAGACTTACAGAGTATCCATCTTATGTATATTCACATTGAAAATCATGCTGGACAGTACATTCTCCAGCCATTAGTTTCATGCCAGGATACATTCGCAGAGAAACGCATCTACCAAGCCCCTTTACGTCGTCACCTCGACGGATCCAGTAAGTGTATAATATAATGCCCCACTTACTTCAAGACCCACGGTTGCTCATTCGTTTCAATGTGAGGCTGGATGCTATCTTCTCTACATATGTCTATTTCTTCTTGCATGGCTATATTTCATTTGCTTGTTCTTGGTCCACAGGAGATATTTGATGCAGGGCCGTTGTACCGTAGAAAATCTCTAGAAAGTAAGGTATCTTAGTAACCACTGACCTTTAGGTTGGTAAGTAAGGTAAGGTAGATACTTAGCTGGAAACTGACTGTCCTCCTGGTACTACACCCATGAATGGGCCCGTTGTCCCACCAACCATTCTTTCTGGTTGAAGATGTTTATATCGTGCATGACTGGTCCTTGATTACAGACTACCTACGTATCTAGATAAAAACACCTTATTCATACTTTTTTTTTTTTTTTTGAGAACCGAAATGACACGGAGTACTGCGGTCAAGAAATATGGAAAACCAGCAAAACGGTCAAAAGCTGAACGTTTATTCGCCGAGCTACCGCAAAGCCCAGTACGGCCCCAACAAGATCCAAACAGAAAAAAGGACTCTATCTCTCTTATAACAAATAAAGTCTCATCACTTCATCTCGATGAGAAATCAGCTCCCAAGACAAAGGCCAAATTGCCGAAAAAGACCACAGAGTCTGTCCAGGAGAAGATAAGCGAGGTTATCAACATTAAGGAGGACACAACCCTCAAGGTCTCAGAGAAAAGAGGCACTCCTGAGGCTAAAGAACCAAGCTCAGTCCCATCGGTGGATGAGAATGACTCTGTCGATTTTTCAAGATTATTGGAGGCTCAGATAGCCTCAGAGGCGGCCGCGCAGCAAACACAGCTCAGAACCCTCACGTGGGAGGATGTCTGTCCACCAGGAGATAGGATTGACAAGATCGCCGAAGCATCTTACGCCGAGGTATATCGTGTTACCAACGAGCGTGGTACAAGCATAATAAAGGTTATTCGGCTTCCATCGCCCATAAAGCCACAGACCAAAGCCCAAATTCGCTCTGGCTTGGTCGATGAAGAGCCTCATCCTGAAGAGGATGTACAAGGCGAGCTGCAGATATCGGAATGGCTGGCAGATATTCCAGGTTTCGTTGTATACAAGGAGCGATACGTCGTTCAGGGTAAAACAACACGTCAGCTTCTCGAGACGCATCAGTCGTTTCAAAAGAAGATGAAACGACAAGATCCGGACCGAGCACAGTTTTATCCTTCACCGAGCCGATATTTGGACGATACGCGTTTCTTAGTTGTTGAGCTGGGCGATGCTGGAACGTCGCTAGAAGACTGGAAGTTAACGAGCGAGAGTCAATTATGGGATATATTTTTCTTGCAGGCTATTGCTCTGGCGAGAGCTGAGGACCTTGTGATGTTTGAGGTAATCCATCCTGCAAGGCACACAATTTGATTAAACCCACTGACTTGAGTAGCATCGTGATCTTCACGAGGGTAACCTATGTATCCGGCAAGTCAAGCCACCTCGAGACATGGGTCCTCCTTCAGCGGGCTTCTTTGGCTTTTCAGGCTTGGATATTACGATTTTGGACTACGGCCTGTCTCGTGGCGAAGATCTTTCCATTGAAGATGCGAAACCTGTGGCTTTTGACCTCGAAAGAGACCTCAGCCTGTTCACCAGTACTCATGCAGCACAATGCAAAGTTTACCGCCAAATGAGGTCATTCCTTCTCCGTGCTGACCGTACATGTCTCCCTCCGGAAGCTCACGATACACCCTACGCTGAGGGTATTGACGGACAACTCTCATGGGACGCTTATGCTCCATACTCGAATGTGCTTTGGCTGGCATATCTCTACGAATATTTGATAAGTCACTTCAAGGGTGATAAGAAGGAGCTTGCAAGATTCAGGAAAGAGACTCGAGAGATGTGGAATTACCTGGATCCAGACGCTGGAGATGAGTTGCCCTGCTTCAGCTGTGCTGCAGACGTTGTATGCTTTGCAGTTGAGGCTGGGTGGGTTCGTCAGGAACAACTGAATGGTGTTGATGAGTCACTGATTCAAAGAGAAGACAGCATTATCGGCGTGCGAGATGATATCAAGGACGTGAAGCAAGAGAGCGCACCGGCCAGGAGGTCAACTCGAAGGCAATGAGTTGGGGGTGCCATGTGTGTGATAGATTGGACGATAGAGTGGGCGGTGTTCTGATGACTGATTTAGGGTGGCGTTCATAATACCAATGACTTTTTATGTAAACAATATCTATTTCCAGGGTAGCTTTGTGTTCATATTGAAAGCCGACCAAGCCAGTGTTTTTGCTAATCTTTCATTGGATTGCCTTGGAAACATGGTAAAGATTCATTAAGACCAAGATACATTCTTGAGAGAGCATATATATGATTGACCGCGTGAGATCCTCTTCCTCGTATGATCTTGTTTATTTACATTTTATTCGTTTCATTAAATTGTAGAAAGTTTGCAACTGTCTCAGATAATGTTGTAATACCAAGCGGACGTTAGCGCACCGTGGTGGTGGGTGCTGGGGAGTCCAAGGTGCCGCTCACGTGTGAGAGAGACTTGAATGAACATGAGAACTGGATTGCACGCTACTGTACATAAATAAGAATAAATATTAAGAATGACTCACTGGCATTTAATCGTGGTACATTCAACTCTAATATAAGTCAGTGCCTCGTATTTGGTGTATCCTGCCGAGCCTACCTAGGGGAGGCAAGAAAACATTGGACCTCGATCCTAAGTGACAAAAAGACTTAGGTAAGTTGTCATAAGCTTAGGATGCTTTTGTTTTGATATCATCTGTCAAGGTCTGAAGTTTTCTTGTTCCCTAATAAGGCATACCTACTATGGTAGGTCATTGGATCAACGGGAAATGAAGACACCCGGTTTAGACAACGACGCACAACAAGCGGAGTAGATGCCGAGCTTAGCCCTTCAGAAAGTTCGGAGCGAATGATTCTTGAGCTGCATCATAGTGAGAGTTCATGGATTCACTATTGAGGAAATCGTTCACAAGATGTCACCATTGTATCCAGGCAGATAAGGAAGTCTTGCCGTCGGTATCTGAATAATATTTACCTACCTTGCCTTCCTTGCTTTATTCATGTCGAATGTTTGAGCTGTCAACCTCGGCCGTGCTTCAGCCGTTGTCGGCTCCTCTTGATCGGAACTGGGGGATGCGCTGGAAATGGAGTCTAGCCCCCACCTGGAAGTCAAGAAGTAGGTACCCGTACCGAGGCTAAAATTACTGGATTGTTTTTCTACCGTTGACCTGGTTGGCTGATCAGCTTTCCCAGCTTCCCAATTGCTATGTTGCTCCTACAAACCACATGTCACGGCCTTCTTGACTGAATTCGGCCCTGACGCGTGAGTCCCGAAATTGGCCTTTTGCCTGCGTTCCTGAGTCCCCATACCTCTCTTGTTATTCCGACGATGCTCAATTGAATCATGAATCTGGGGTGATTCAATACATTTGCCCTGTTTCTCCTTTTGTCGCCCAGTCTTCCACCTAGCTCCGTCTCCGGCACATACCGCTTGTCCTCTATACGATCCGAACTTCAACTCTCTGCCACCTCCAAAAGACCATTACCGCCTTTTATGTGTAGACGATCTTAAGCCTCAGCAGCTTCCGTGCTAGCGCTTCTGACCCCATTGCTCTCATACAACTGTCAGCATGACTTTTAACAACCACGCCGCTTACAGTCCGACCACGATGTCATCCTCAACTGGACCTTCTGGCCTGCCAAACAGCCTCCTCTCGACATCTATATCCTCTCTAGCTTCTTCTACATCCTCACGGCATCCTTCCCAAATTTCGAAGACCTATCGACAGGCTTCTACTTTATTCCTCACGCGTCGTTTGCCTGAAGCTCTGACGACATTACTCCCGTTGATTACTCCACCCGAACATGTTGACGACGGCGAACCTGCGCCAGTTGCCCGAGCATCAAGAACGACTCGCATTAAGGTCTGGAGCCTGTATCTTACTATCCTCAACGGCATTGTCGAGTTAGAACCCGAGGAGGGCAAGGATGCTTTTGGAAACCAAGAATGGAGAGCCTTGTGTACCAAAGTTCGCGAAGGAGAAATATGGGATGAGGTAGTCACGAACGGCTACCATGGAGTGGAGGGCGATGTTGACTCCGACGTGGTCATCAACCTGTAAGTCGTTTGGAATGCGTCGAATTGAGACATGGACTGACTCGAGCAGCGCGACAATATTGTTGGCACATGCCCGTGACCAGAAGCTTAACCAGCACAAACTCGAGGCTTATCTGGCCGCCTCCAACACACCAAATCTTGATGTCGCCGGGCGGCTCGCTGAATCAACGAGCTCGCCCATGTCGAATCGATATCGGTCTCCTGCGAAGGGGGCGAGTGGCGCCAACACGCCTAGAGATCTAAATGCTCGTGTCAAGATTCTGGAGTTATACACCCTCCATGTGCTCTTGCGCAATAACGAATGGGACTATGCTCGTGAATTCATCAGCGTCAGCTCAGTCCTAGACGAAGAGCGCCGCGAAGCCTTCCTGCAGGCATTGCAAAGCCTCCACGATGAACAGCAAGAACAAGAAAGACTTGAGAATGAGGAGCGCCAACGACAAGAGAATGAGCTGAAGAGAGAAATTGAGGAGGCGAAGAGACTGCGCGCCGAGAATGAAGAGAAGGAAAGAAAGCGGATAGAAGAGGAGCGTCTGAAGCGCGAAGGGAGCGAGGTTGATTACGGGATTGACGATACAGCTAGCCATACTGGGTCAACTCGACCTCGGAAGGCCAGAGCTCCATCATCTTCGTCGTCGAGGCAGTCAAGGCCTCGAGGGACGAATCAAGCAGGACCCAAGGCAAATGGCAAAGCAGTCTCGCAGGCCCCAACTCTTACGTCACGCGCTTCTATGGTTATCGCACAACTGCGGACTATTATCGAGCATTTGGGCTCCTCACTAAACTCGAACCCGATGTTCTTATTCAAGTTTCTGGCGTTTGTTATGGGTTTGATTCTTATGTTGAGTAATGCCAACATTCGGGAGAGAGTGAAGAGAATGCTTGCGGTCTTTTGGTCTAAGGTCAAGGGCACAGCTGGAATGGGGGTGAAGGTCAGTTACATTTAATCAATTCTTTCGATTGTATTATTTATTAGTATCTCATGTGTTACGAGGAGTCTCTGGGTAGAGCCTTTCTTTTCAGCCGTAGTGTATTTCTCAGGGGCGAGTTCTGGCAAATTTGAATAAGGAACAAGCTGGTCAATTGTAATTACTAGATAGCTGCCGCTCAATCCAAAAACCGCGTTTTCATATTCCATTTTACGCCTAAACACCTGTGATGACAGATCTAAGTCGACCTTGAATCAACCAAACACCACACTGCACGGCCAGCCCAGGCCACAACTCGGCTAGTATTGCGTTGTACGATTGGTTTTCTTTTGGTAGAATAACTGGGAAGAGAATCGTCAGCACCCTGCTGCTAAGTCAGACTACAATCGTCCAGAGACTACTCACATCTGTTCTCGAACTGCCAAGGTTTATAATCTTAGGACATCCGTCGCGATCCTTTTCAAGGCGAGTGCATTCAAAACAGTAGAACGCGTCCGAGATGCCCTCACCACCGCATACAACGCATTTGTTCTGGTAATTGCCGAAGCTACACTCGTCACAAATGCGCACGAGCGTCGTGGGCCGAACGTAGGAGTCGCATACGGGGCATTTGCCATCACACTTGTCACAGAGACGACCGATGGCAATACCGGCCTGTTTGCGACACATAACAAGATCGCTGCGCGAAAGTTAGCTGAGCTGCTATCATAAAAAGCCAGAATCAATGGTTACTTACGGATGATGGCGAGACATAGCTGTGACGAGCGGGGAAACAGTGTATGAACTTTTGTTATGAGATGCGCGGTCAGAATTAGTGATATGTTGAGGAAGAGAGAAGGGCGCAAAGTTCCGGCGTAACGTTGTAAAGTCCAAGATTGAAGATTTCTCAGCCTTGTGGAAGCGTTCTGACAGCTTCGAGGGGCGACAGAGCTGCAAGCCAATCAAAATGGTGGGGCGCTGTAGCTCTTGCCGCTTTCCACGACATCACAATCCCCACCTTCCTCAGCCTTGACAAGGGACATCATCAAGCTTCAGCCTACGTTTCTTTTCCATCCTGTCTGGTACAGCTGCATAAGCTGATTTTATGTCTAACTATGCGCGAATAGCTAGGCTCCTATAACAATGATCTAAGATGGAAACCAGAAATGAGTGCTTTCAACCCGAAATCCTTCTTCTCTGTGGCTTTACTAACTTCATTCTAGGCTCCGTCCCTTGGATGATACCAAAGCAGACCACGAGCAACATAACGATACACTGTCTGAAGATGCACCGAATAAGGACTCCATGAAAAGAAAGGCTTCAACAAATGCCGACGAACTCTCCTCGAAGCGTACGAAGCATGACGATTATTTCCGCGAAGCACCAAGCGAACCACGGAAGAGGAACTCATCTCCAAACCGCCACAATTCATATGGAGACTCTCCAGACATCGACGTAGATCGCCGTAAAAACGCGACGCAAGAAGAGAAGAGACGCGGCAAGCGGTTATTCGGGGGTCTTCTTAGCACTCTAAGCCAGACAGGTGGCAGTGTGCAGCAGAAGCGCCGTCTGGAGATAGAACGCAGACAACAAGACCGGTTACAAAAGCAGAACATTGAGGAAGATAGGCTGCGTGAGGAGAAACGACTGCGACTCACTGAGGTTCGGAGAGGCGAACAACTATCGTTCGATGAGGAGGTTGTAAGTTGGCCGCTGAGTTGTCAATTGCTGCGCTGTTGAATTGACAAGATCACATAGATGCATAGCAAGCATACCAAAATGCTTGCGATGGCTCGGTACCTACGCACAAAATCAAGGCCGCATATCGTATGTTGACGCAAACATCTATCACTTCGAAATTTATATTGACATATCCAGTACTATCTTCCTTGGAAACTCACAGCAGAACAAGAAGATACAATAGATGATCAGATCCAGCAAACGAAGATCACAATAGAGCGCGAAGTTGAAAGTTTGAACGCAAGAAAAGGGCGACAGGCGAAAGGAGGAAGACAACCTTCAGAGACAACAGCGCCGTCAAGAGAGGAGTTGGATCATGACTCCAAAGACACGAATGGACCCGAAAAATCGCCACATGGTCAAGAGAAGCCGCTTCAGGCGTCTAATCATGACCATCATCACGATGAGTCGGCAGATGTGTTGGAGGAAGCTGACGAAGATATGGTGATTTACTGATTATTGTCACTGGAGCGGTTCATTCTGATGCAGTGCACGGACTGCTGTCTTGTTTTGACCTGTTGACCTGGAGGAGGAAATCCTAGGTTTTATTCTGCACAACTATGTTCGGATTCGCGAGAGAAGGTAGAGATCTCATGTTCATGAAGGAAGGCGCTTTCTGTTGGATCTTTATTATCAAGCCCAATTGCTTTAGTATTAATATGATTTGATACCCCATGGATGTTGTCTCGGGGTTGTATTCTTATTATTTTGTTATCTCGTTGTCTACTCGACCTCGGACTCGGACTCGGACAGACCGCTTCAGCGCCTCCACCATCAATCCACCATTGACCTACACTGCGTCATGTTACATGCCGAGAACGAACGTATGCTTCGTTGGCTGGTGTAACGCAACAGCAACAGTGGGAAGATATGTATCTCTTAGCCGCGATTCGCAGTCCGATTATCCTAAATTAGGAAGTCCTCCCGTTCATGCCTCGGTTTCCTCGGACTCCACCCTACAGCACATTCAGAGCTGGCCAGGATGGAACTTGTACTATATAGACTGACTCTGTGCCGTGCAGTCTCGAGTTAACAGCACTTCCTATAAACTTGCGATCTCAGTCGTTGCAGGTGATTGGTACTTTCTTTGTAAGAATTCAGCTAAACAAAGCACCTACGAGTCATTTACACGAGAAAGTGAGTACCGTATTCCAGCATGATGTAATTCAACACCAACTTGCTTCCCCACACGGACAGGCAACTTTATCTAAACCTTGAGTTTTACAACATCCCATCATTAACAATCTTAACAGACCGCACAAAGAAAGACGGGACGTCACGTCATTCATTATGGCTCCTGATAAGCTTGTGCCAAACGACTCTCGGGTCAAGACGGAGACTGCGCAGATTCGGGGTAAAAACTACAAGTACATTGTTGGAGAGCCTGAGGGTACCCCACTGGAGACTATCGTTCTCATCCATGGCTTTCCAGATCTCGGATTTGGCTGGCGCTATCAGGTTCCCTACCTTATGTCCCTAGGATTCCGGGTCATTGTCCCCGATATGGTGGGATATGGCGGCACTGATGCTCCAGAGTCACTTGAGGAGTACACATACAAGAGCCTTTCAGCTGACATCAACGAGCTGGCTCGGAAGTACGTTGGAGAGGATGGACAGATCATTCTTGGTGGACACGATTGGGGTGGTGCTATTGTGTGGAAGGCCGCCTGCTGGTATCCTCAGCTGATTAAGGGTGTCTTCAGTGTCTGCACACCCTACATGCAGCCCAGAGAGACATTTGTCCCCCTCGAAGCTGTCATCCAGAGTGGCCATCTGCTCAACTTTAGCTACCAACTACAGTTCAAGGGCCCCGAGGTTCAATCCCGTCTCCAAGGAGAGGAAAAGATCCGGCAGTTCTTGAATGCCCTCTATGGCGGCCGTACACCCAGCGGTGATCTTGGGTTCTCTGCCAAGGACGGCATCTACTTCGACAAGCTACCGGAACTCGGTCCCTCGCCACTTGTCAGCAAGGAAGAGTTGGACTACTACGCCAAAGAATATGCCGCGAAAGAACCCCCTGAGCTGCGTGGCCCTCTAAACTATTACCGCATGCAGGAGCTCAACCACCGCGACGATGCAGAGGTAGCCAAGAAGGGTGGCCACAAGTTCGAGATGCCAGCTTTGTTCATCACTGCAACTGACGATTCGGCTCTCCCACCGTCTATGTCCAAGGGAATGGACTCAGCCTTTACCAACTTAACTCGGGAGGAAGTCAAAGCGTCTCACTGGGCGTTATGGCAGGCTTCTGAGGCCGTGAACCAACATATCACGAAATGGCTTGATGGGGTGCTGGATGGTGCCTTGAAGGCAAAGGCATCTCTATGAGCAGAGACCAGATATTCAGCCTCTGTTGTACATGATCTCAATAGATTTTATGCGCACGCACCGAGTAATTTTCTGAACAATGAGTATACACAGTTCGTATGTGTCCAAACCTAAGCAATGGAAATGCATTTCACACTTTTCCTTGCTTCTTTATATCTGTAAGAATGCAAATACCTACTGTCACAAAACACGACGCCCAACTCGTGGTTACCTCATTGAGGGACGTGCTATACGTTTACAAAGGAGTCTTAAGTCTGTCGCTTCAAATTTTAGAGGCCCGGAGGGTCTTTGAACAGCTATTTGCTTGCCGTGCCGGCTTCATTGGAGTTCAGAAGAAAAGAGGCAAGGTATTACACCACCAAGAACTTTCTATGAAAATGTAAATATAACGGGGTTAATGACCTCAATTGATGATGAAATACCAGGAAATTTCGCAATGCAAGATTTGACTCCCTTCAAGTGCCAATGTGAAGTCAGCATTCATCTACATGGTGTATACCACCTTTCCTGCTACTGGGGCTTCAATCAACTATCCAATGTAATACACACCAGGATTATAACGGTCAAAGCATTCCTCCTTGCGTTCATCCAAGTACAGCTCTGGCGATAAATCCATGTTAAGGAAACCCATGAAGAAGCTAATCAACAATCGAGTTCAGATGCCCTTTACAGCTTAGCTTCAAGATGCCATCAGTTGGGTTCGTCTCCACCTTGCCAAGCTATTGGAAGGTAAGCTCTCCGCATCACCCACATCGCCTATTTCTTTGCCTCCTTACGCCGTGGCCTCTTGCTCTCTTCGCTTCGCTTCTTCCCCTCCTCAGCCACGACCTCTCAATCCCCTTGTCGAAGACTCGAAAATGGCATCTTTCTTGAAGAACGCCTTTGGAGGTGCAAAGGCCCCTGAGCCTGCGAGTCCAGATTCTGGTGAGTTCCACTAGATACTCTAAGTATTTGACAATTGCGCAATATTGCGACGCGCAAAGAGTGGAATTGAATATCATGACTGACACGCGACATCCTCCTCTAGACTTCGCAGACTTCGCCGAGGCTCCCAATCCAGCTCCTGAGGCCGCTACCCAGGATGCGACAGCTGGAAGTGCCGCTGCCGCTGCTACGGCCGTTCCATACACCAAGTGGTACAATGTCCACGAGCGTCACTCCCTTTCCGAGTTCAGGCTTGAGGGCATCATTCTCCTCATCTCGAGTTTTATCTTCCTCCTTCATATGATTGGCGCTCGTCGCAATCGCTCTAGGGCCAAGGCCTGGATTCGCGCTCACGCCCCCGTTCTCCAGAAGGAGTACGCTCTTGTTGGCTTTGGTGGTGTACCCACCTTGGATAACCAAGATGTCAATCCCGATACACTCATCAAGGAGAAGTCCCTCTTCGAATTTGCAACATACGCTACTGGTCGACAGAACACGGCTTTCACCGACTTCAAGCTTACTCTGACCAAGAAGTTCAACCCCATTGTCAATGGCTTCGAGCATGTCGCAAGCTTTTTCGTCGAGACTGTTGATGCGCCTAAGGATGCCGTCGAGGTTCTGACCTACCCCTTTGATGGCAAGGAGAGTCTTACAGTTCCCTCTGCTCCTGGTGCTTCTGAAATCCGCGCCAAGGATGCTAAGAGCACCTACGATGGTTTTGTTTGGGGTGTTGTGCACAAGGACGTCATGCGTCGCGTCCGCGACGACCGATACGATGTGTCTCTCACTTTCACCAAGGATAACCCTAAGCTTCCCGCTTGGCTCACTGTCATGAGCGAGAGCGCCGAGATCACTGACACACTCCTTACTCCTGAGCTCATTGCCGCTGTTGAAGCCGCTGGCGACCTGTTCGAGTACCTAATTATCTCCGATCAGCCTGTTGACAAGCCCGCTACCCTTGAGGAGACGACTCCCCGCAAGCGACTCTTCCTGAAGTACGCCCTCCCTTCCGATGGCAATTACGATAATCTTCTGCCTCTCTTCTCGCACTTTCTCCAGCTTCCCGATGTCCTTGTCAAGGTTGCTCATTTCCGCCCTGAGGTTTCCAAGAAAGTCCGCAGCACCCGTGAGCATGCCATCAGTGAGCTTAAGAAGACCGCTGAGAGCCAACGCCAAGAGGAACTCCTTCTTGAGAAGGAGAAGGCCCGCAAGGCTAAGCGCGATGCTGAGCTCAAGGGTCTCGATGCCAAGGCGCAAAAGCGATACCTCGAGAAGGAGAGGGAGAAGGAGATGCGCAGATCTCAGAAGCGACAGACACAGCGTGCCTAGAGCAGCCATTTCCCTGTACAAATGGGCTGGTTTAAGAACCAACAGTGGAAAAGATGCATATTACCATGGCGGTTTCGTGTACGGGTACGGAATTTGTAACAGTAGTTTATTTATCAGCCTAATCTATGATGATGCTTGTCTTGCCGCCATAAACATCTCCATCTTTCTTCCACTTCTAGTAATTGGGCTTTGATTGCTGTTGGATATAGAAGTGGGCTGTCGGATTTGAACGACGTTCAATGGTATCGGTGTGAATAACTAGAGCATTCACTTTTGGTATGTGAGAGTGTGCACTGGCTTTTCGCCAGGTTGATCTCTTTCTTTCTGGTTTTGCGCCAATACAAACTGTCGTTCACCACCGTTGAGTTTGATGTTCTCAGTCAAAGCCCTCTCGTGGCAATTGGCTGTAGTACTCAAGGCAATTTGAGAAATCTAACGAGTTTTAGATTAAAACCAGTGGCATTGGTTAATCAAGAAAGAAAGAAAAATACGATTGTGTTTCCTCATACTTTCCAAGCAGTGGCGTTCCAGCCCCCGTGTTTGCTATTTCATTTCCGTTCTCTTGAAACTGACTTGGCAGGGCAAAACCGAAGACAGCTGTTGAGGTCATGGTGTCCGAAGAGTGAGGCAATGGCCTTAAATTTCATAATGTACAACAAAGCCAAGATTGCTATGGTACTGCGAGCAAACACCGGAAGTTCTGCTGTACCCCAAACCAGCAGTCCTGTTGTTATCCGAGCCCTCCGCAGAATATTGTTCCGTAGCAGAGCTATGCTGACTCTGGGTAGGTGGGTTGGGCAAGTCTGATACTCCGATGGCATGCTTTCTCGGCATCTCAGCTGAACAGCCACAGCAATGGAACATGCCCGAACGACTTGTGATATATCCTTCACTCTCCTTCAAGAACGTGGAGTAATCGACTTGAAAGAGGCATGCGTGGAATTTCATGGGCCCATCCACATGCCCCCGTTAGCTGTGCCAGCCATACTGTCAGGACTAGGACCGAAACCGTATCCAAAGAGCGTAGAAAACTCGTCCATAACCTGGGGTACCGAGGGAAAATTGGTATCCATTCCCACAAAAGGGCTCGGAGCCTGCATCGTTGGCATACCAGGTCGAGCAGTCGCGCTTGTGCTTCCTCTCCAAAATGCATTTGGATTTTGAGGTAGCGGCAAGGAAGTCTCGGGTGATTCTTCTTGCCTGAAGTCCTGAAGAGGCACGTCATTCTTCCAGAGCAATTCCCATTTCTTGAACCGCGAGTAGTCAGTTTCTCGGCCGGAGGGATCAGCTGTGGCGTCAAGTCGTGAGATAGCACGTTCAAAAACTTCGATCAGGGATGCTTCAGAACGGGCTGACTCTCCACCTGCTGACATCTCCTTGATCATAGCCATACCAGTGCGCAGAGCGTCACGTAGCCTATCCGTCTTCTTTTGCAGGCACTGGGTGATGATGACCAGGAGAGCAGCACGACAGGAGCTGAATTCCGTGTATGATGCCCGTGCAAGACCAATCGTGCTTTGAAGAAGATGGCATGTGTCGATTATGGTCAATGCAGCCTCCACGCAGTCAGCAACCAGGATCGACCGAGGATTGGACTTATGAGGTGTGTTGGGTCTTTGGTTGTTTGAATCAGCGGGTGAACTCGACGTGCTCGCGTTACCACGCACGACTTCGCGAGGTAAGATGAAGGGCCGCCCAGCGTACATTCGCAGCAGGCAATACTCTAGTTTGAGATGCGTATCTGCTCGTGTAATAGGGTTTTGAGGATTGACTTCTTCGTGAAACGCGGTTTCGGGCAGTGCGTCCCACCACCTTCGAAGCTCCTCCTTCATATCGATGACCCGTTGCAAACCTTCATTCATCTCATGTTTCTGTGCGGTTCGAAGAACAGAGCTGCCAATGATGATAAGCTTCTTGAAATTACGGCTCAGAATAGTGCAAGTGCATACATCTCATGCGCAATCTTACCAAGCGCCTGATTCAACCGTAACGTTGCAAGCATGTGCGCAACATTCGTAGGGCTCGATGGCATTATGTCTGGTCGATCAGTGGGCATCTCTGCGTCGACATCTTTACTCAGAATAGATAAAGGCCGCCCGTGGTAGATACCAACTCGTCTGAAGCGGTTAGTTTCCAGGAATTAAAAGATACAGTCAATAAAACATACTTCTCTGTCGTATAAGCTGTCCACCATACGCGGTTCCGGGTTTCGCGAACGTAAGGATCAAGTCCCCCGGCAGGCCACTTCCTATGCATGCCATTCTGGATTGCGAGCTTTACCGCGAGATTAAGGTAAATGTACGATAACCCTGAGGCATCAAGGGGCAGGGTATAGATGCCGATGAGAAGAATAGCCTGGACACTCTCCAGTGATGCAACAGTAATGACATCAGGAACGAGCTTGCAGGCTTGTTGATAGAACATAACACCTATTGTATCCTCGGAGAAAGGGCTTGAATCGTTCGACTTGCCATGGGCATCTCTTCCTGAGATCGAATCGAGATATGCGTACTGAGTTCCAATCGCAAAGATGATCCAAATCATGCAGAGCGTCCCCACTTCACGACGAGATAAAGCCCCGGGGTTCTGATAAATTAGATCAATCTGTTCAGCGAGCCACCCACGCTCAACATAGAAGTAGTTGGTTTCGGCATGTTTATAGAAAGCCTGGACCAGGAATTCGGCGACATATCGAGGAGGCAGTGCAGAAAGTGATGCCTGCGTGTTATTGGCTGACTGGAGCTCCTCGGCTCGATAATACTCTTTGAAACTGAGGGGGCCTGGTGCATCCTAGCGAAGGCTTGAGTTATTCGTTCTTACAAAACAAGGCTGGAGCAACATACATGGCGCTCTGGTACACATTGTTCGATCCATTGCTTGATTCTCATTGAGAAATTCCAGTGAGAGAACTCGCCTGAGTAGTCTATGAGCGGTATTGATTAGTTACTTGTGGACGTTGAATATAAGTAGTCGGTCTTACGAGTAGTGTTATTATCCAGTGGCTGGACAGTATAGTTCTCGTCTTCTGCTCCCAAAAAGTCAGAGCCTGGAGAATCCATAATCGGAGCTTGTCGTTGAACTTGATTAGCGTCGAAATTCTTGTTGTCGATGGACTCGGCCATAGCCTTCAGTGATTCCGTATCAAGAGAGACACTTCCAGCATAGTGGGTAATGATCTTCTCCATATAAGAAGCACGCTGAAGGAGCTCAGCGTTGCCTGGGCCGGAGCGATTCCTAAACTCATATGCGTCAGCAAGCTTGAGAACATCGAATGGTATGCGGCGATGCCATTGCGACTTACCTCGATGCACCATCACCTCCTTCGGCATCTCTGGCAGTCGGACCTAGGAACTCGCATTGGCGATGTAGGCGCGTACATCTTCGGCATGGTACACCACCGTCGCATTTCTCCTTCTGTCGTCGGCAGCCGTCGCAGCTATAGAAAGCGATCAATCAGCATGTGAAAATCAGAACAGTCAATGAGGGGTAAGAGATAAGCGGGAGGCAAGTGATTCAGAGCTGGTCACACCCGGAACCTGATGGGAAGGAGAAGGCCCTAGAAGCACATGCTCCAGTTTGTCTGCGCCAGAGACGGCGCACAGTGGCGGAGTGAATCAAAGGTTTAGTGAACATACGCTCGGAGTGCTCGCTTGCGTTCTCTCTCGGCTTCGCGGCGCTGCCGGCTCTTCTGCACAGTCTGTTGTTGCTTGTCCATCTCCCGTTCTTCAGATTGCGCGAGTCGGCGCGGGGCCGGTTTGCGGCGGCGAAGCGGATGGACTCCTGCTCCTGGGACCTCGAGCGGCGGGAAGCCCGTAGATCCCAGCAAAATGCTTGGGAGGCCGTGAGGTGCGGCGAAGCAATCGTGGTAAGTGACTTGCTGAGTTCGAGGAGTCGGTGATAATTGGGGTAGGATTGATGGTTCAAATTGGCGGATCGAACTTGAAGTGGTTTTATGGCCCACGTACAGGTAGATCGAGGCTTGAAAAGCGACTTAGTGGCTCCATCCAGGACCCTGTTGGTGGATGCACAGGAATGGCAGCGACTAGGTGGGTGACAACAGCCAGTCTTCCAGGAGAACCTATTGCAGGCTACAGCGATGCAAGCGAGGATTTGTTTTGAGCTTCGGCAGTTTAGGTTAGGTTGCTTATCATGTCTTTCGCTTGTTGCAATTCGAGAAACCACGGGCCTGAGAGGTGCTTTGTAATTGAGCTTCTTAAAGCAACGCCATGTTAGTCGCTGAACAAATGCAGTGGAAGCTCAGGGTCAAGCAGAAGAGAGGAACTGAAGAGTTGAAGTAAGGTAAGACGCGGGGAGCTAGCGTCTATTTTAGTGCAGTTGGCGGAACCGCAGAACGTAATTCGCTTGCCCACGCTTTTGAGTCTGAGACGATGGCGAAAGACAGAAGCAGAATAGGTCAAGTAAGCTCACAATTCGACGTTTTGTTTGCGACGCAATGATGCAAGGGCATCAGCTCAGTAACTCAGTAACTTGCACGACAGACTCCAGATGAAAGGAAAGGGTGCATGTTTTATAAGATGTGATGAAGGGCATATACTTCGTCTGAGACTAAAGCAAAGACCTCCAAAGCTCGATGTTTGAAGATAGCGCTAACAAGCTATACACGGTCACATTGTCAGTCCTTGTACATAGCTCTTGAGGGGCTTGACGCTCTGATGCCGCTGCAGCTCCACGATAGTTGACGAGACAAGCTGGTTGGCGCGCAACGCCAATTGATTACAGTGAGTGAAGAGGCATCAACTTTGCTTTTTCTTTTACACATGCACGTACGCACAACAAGGTCTCGGCCAGCTCCTTAGGTACGTTGCTGTGCACTTTATGCAGTTGGCGGTCGATCCCGATCCATTGAAGTAGTATTAGCGTGGCATTGTCGACGGACAGACAGGAACCTCTTCGCGAAGGGGATGAAGCATATGGCTTGTTAGTTCAATAGGTGAGTTAGTAAAACAGAAAATGGGTATCAAGCTACTGAGATTCTCTTTGTGCCATCCATATGCCCAAGGCATATATATGAATATTTCGCCTGTCTGTCTATCAGAGGACCTTGAAAGAACGGGATGTCACGGAGACTGACTCTTAAAGGAGTCTCTCAACCTCCCTGCCTACCTACCCATGTGTCTCTCAATATGTGGGTCTTTCTCGAGATGTGGACAGGGGATCTCTTGATTCTCACAAAATTCTAAGCAATGCTCAACCAAGGACATGGGAAGCTTCAGGAAACTGGGGGATGAACTAGCGCCAATGTCGTGAAAAAAGCAACGCAGAAAGTGATGCAGAGTCACGTCCCTGCACCTTATGCAGATGACAAAATAGTATGTCTAGGGGACACTTGCAAGGAATATAGGATCATAAGCCTTAAGCTGATTGAGTATCACGGCTCGCCACATCAAGCGTAACATGCGGCCTTGAAGCATACGACAGCGGGGCGGGGCGGGGCGGGGCGCAGGATCGCCACAACGGGCGAAGTCAAGGGAACTACAAGTCCTTGATAACCCGCGACCACTCTCGACAAATGCTTGCACCAAGATCGCGAGATGCTTTCCTCTTGCTATCAGAGGAGCTGGGAAATTACAAACAAAACCGAACCGTTTTGATCAGCCCCCACAATGCCCCTAAGCCGGGCGAATGATGCTGCACAATATGAAGCTGGGGGAAGATGCCACATGGAACAGACATGGGTCAAGTTATGGAGAATTTCTTCAACCAAAGCTATGGTACTGGCTACCATTAGTCTACATGGGCAACTACCTTAGTAGGGTTAGACTAGTTATGATGAATCCTAGGTATGTAGTTTGCTCATGTTGAAGATATCTCGAGAGAGACAGCGCTGAACGCGGCTATCTATATATGATCTGTGCATGTTTCAACAACATAGCTCATCAGCAAATTCGCCGAGTGAGATTTGTACCGAGTTCCAACGCTACGACGTTCACTCTTTTCGTCGTTAGCAAGGAGCACTCAATGACCAGCATTTATTGGTCAGCAGTTTTCTAATGCCATTAATGAGTAAACCTTGTGCCGCTTTGATCAACAAGAGAGCCTTGATCCCTAAAGGTCCATCGATGTCGCGCATCTCAGGTACTCACAGACCATCAACGCCCTGACGCCTTACTTTTTTTTAGACTGGCTGAGACAGGAACATATCAGGCAAGGATGGTGCTGTTTGCATATAGCCTATCAAGAACACATTCAAGGCCAGGGCTCAATCAGAAACACTGACCATGCCTTGGTTTTGCGGGGTTGACAGCTCTTGATTCGATTAGATGAGCACGGTAACGAATCGGCCAGATCTTGCAGGCTGTCAACTCTAGGATTTTTTCGGTTTTGACATTGCGCAGTATTGATCAGCTCTCCCGTGATGATACCCGCCCACATCGGAAATGATCCCTGATCACAACTCATCGGTGCAGATGTCATGTGCAGATCTTCTACCACTCGGCCAACACCAACACCATCATCCATTTCTATGCCATCTGCTCTGTGCGTTCTCTTACTTATACATTGTACAACGTAGAGCACTCTTTGGCCATGTACATAAGCTAACAGATTTAGGCGATACGAGACCATCGGTTCCGAACAAAAGCACCAATGGCCCTCACTGATCAGCTTCGTCATGTCTATCAGCGGCCTGGAACAACACACAGTATTTCCTGGACCTACATACTCGGCTGCTCGTTTTGGTAATCCGAGACTTGTCAAACCAAACCCTGTAAGTAATATTATCACTTTTGACCTTTTTTTACGGGATGTCTGAGCATGCCAATGGCTCGCATAAATGGTCTACTGCACATTCCTCACCTCCCTTTCTGTGGTTACCTCGGACCTGCAGAGCTATGTAGAGACCAATTCCTCTTTCGAACAACAGGCTTGATTCCAACAAGGCAGAAAAGCTTGCAACCAATGAGACGTCATGGTGTCTCTCTCAAGGGAGCAATGGCCGGGGCTGAGAAAAAGAAACTTGGATCTTGAGATTGCATCTTGCATTACCAGCCTCCCAACACTTGGTCGAAGCTCTTCCTCAGCCGGCATAAACCGACATGGATGTCTTCTCACTGCTTCAGCGTTGAATATCGGGTTTGCCCGATCACTCCGGTGCCTGTATGCAACCGCCGAACTACCACTTTGATGACTGTAACTATACTTCTGTTACCTGCTACTGCAAGCCACCACAGGCATCTGAACGGTTCATCCCTGGTCCGGTGGCACGCTGCAATAGCACACCTGGCTTACTGAGGAGGACTCTAGAGGATAAATTCTAGAGCGAGACGGAATCAGTATCAATTACCCAGTGGCCAGCATATCGTCAAAATCGAGCACAATGATGGTAGGTGTTGGATGCTAAAGAATACGGTGAAATCGCAGTAAGAATCATAACCTTGAAAGTTCTCTAGGGAAGTTGGTCATAGAACTTCCAAAACTCTGGCCAAATTTTCTCAACTATTGCCGAATTACACGGCGGCGTCAATGTCATTCGTCTATGCGTATCCCATGTGACAGGTCACCTCACCACTTGGCAGATGTTATCCAAAGAGATAACACACGGAGTCAGAAATGGAAGAGATAGAGCTTGCCGAGAGACGCGCAGTGTATCGGTTGAGGCCGGCATTCAGGGTGACGTGAGATACGCACCAACCTGCAGCTCGTTATGGCCCAATGACTCATCTCAGAAGTACGGCTTTCTCTATCCGACATTAACACGAACCTCTGTATGTTTGTAAATCGGGCTTGATCTTTTTATGACTTCGAGGCTTGTGTTCTCAGGTCAAGAGGTCTTGTTGATGTCTATGAGGCTATTGTGTATCAATTCTGTTGTTTTATATCACATTTGTTCATGTCAACTGCGGTCAAAGGCCCATGTTTAAGTAATCGTAATTCTTTTTAAGTTCCAGTAACCTTGGTAAACGCCTTGTGTGATCCGGTTCCGTTTGGATACACACCTATCTGTTTCCACGCCTAGTGTATTACCAGTATGATAACTCTTTTCTTTTCCCCTTGATCCTCAGAATAACCCTTTGAAAAATGTAAACCAAAATCAATGCAACGCTAGTAGAAGGCATGATGCGTAGAAACCCAATCCCATTTCGATGTTCCTGCTAAATCCAGCTTACAGAGCACCAATAACCTTGTCAAAGGCGTTGATGAGAATAGGAATGTGCTCCTCTTGGAAGATGAGCATAGGTCGGAGGCGGACAGTGTTCTTGCCGCAAGTACCAATGTTCACACCGATATGGCGCATGGAGCGAACGAGACCAGCAGGGTCCTTGGTATCGAAAGCAATGAAAGTGCCCTGATCTTTTCCACGGAGGTTCTGGATATGTTCAGGGTATTTGGCAGCAAGGCGCGCAAGCTCGGCATAAAGGTGAGTGCCCACGCGGGCCGTCTGCTCAACAAGCTTCTTGTCAAGAATCTCCTGGATGACAGCCTTGCACATGATGACACGGGCAGGGTCGCCGATCCAGGTGTTGAACTGACGGTAGGCCTTATCGGGAATGAGCATCTCGTTACCAAAGAAGTAACCAGCAGTCTGGGCCTTCTTGGAGAAGGTAACCATGTCTGGAGGAGAGGTCAGGTTCCAGTGATCATGTCCCCAGAAGGAACCGGTGGCACCGAAACCGGTCTGCACCTCGTCGGCAATGAGAACGGATCCGTGCTTCTTGGTAATATCACGGAGACCCTGGAAGAAAGCCGGGGAGGCGTGGTTGTCACCACCCTCGGACTGAATGGGCTCAACAATGAGACCGGCAACGGGGCAATGCCACGTGGTCATGATGCGCTCAACTTCTTCAAGGCATCGCTTCTCCTCGGCAGCGTTCTCCTCGACGTGCTCCTCAAGAGGGTACTTGAGAGCAGGGAAGGGGGCCTGGGGCCAGTTGAAGCTAGGGATATCAAGCTTGTGGACAGCCTTGGAGCGGGTGGTGGAGAGGGAGCCGAAACCACGGCCGTGGAAAGAGTTCTTGAAACTCATGATGGCGAGCTCAGGAGAGCCAGGCTTGGAGTTCTCAAGGCAAGAGTTGATCTCCTCCTCATTCCAGTCAGCGTCGCCACGCTTGCGGCGACTGTAGAGCATGAAGGCAGCCTTGTAGGCAAGCTCGTTGGCCTCAGATCCGGACTGAGCAGTGAAGATGTAGCTGAGGCCCTTGGGGGCGACCTTCATGAGGCCGTTACGGAGGATATCGACCCATTGGTCGGAAGGAAAGTTGCCAATCGCAGGACGGTTGACGAGAGCGGAGATCATTTCGGGGGACTTGGCAGCCTCGATCAGAGTGTCGTTGTTGTATCCGACAGGGATGGAAGCAATCTGGGCGTAGACATCGAGGTACTTGTTGCCATCAACATCGACGATGCTTCGAAGTGTTAGCTCGTACATTGTCATGTCCTTTGGGGAATAGGATCTTACTAGTTATCGTGAGACTTGTCGTAGTCGACAACGAAGTGAACGGCACGGGCATCGAAAATGGCATCCAGACGCTTGGAGCTGGCCTTGGAGACAGGGCCAGGAATCTCCGTGCGAACGGGGGACTCAACGAAGGAAGGCATTGTGAAGCTTGCAAAGATCTCTGGACGAAGCGGGAATTTCCTCTGGGTATTCTGTGCTTGCGAGAGAGGAAAGTGAGTTAAGATGTCCTGGAGAGATTGGAGGTGAAGTTGGAAGCTGGGGGAGGAGCTATTATAGCATTTGGCAACGGTATCGGAGGTGGCACTAATAGGTTACCAAACATGGTCAAAAAAGTTCATGGAGGGCCTCGATATGCCCACCCCTGCCAATTGAAAGGTATTGCCTGCGGCTCATGGACGCGATGCGCAGAGTTGGGGAGACATCGTGGGGCCGGAGTCGAGAGGCCGGCCGGCACAGAGCCGGAGAGGAGAGGGATGTCTCACGGGACCTGACCTTGGGCGCCACCGCTGCACCTTGAATTTGGTAGCGGAGGTCATGGCGGATTTTTCCCTCTTCTTATTCAGCGCGGGAAGAATGCTGCCGTCTCGGGGGTGCTGTTACTACTACAGAGATCCTCTGTCAATTAATGAGAAACATTACGTCTTGTTCACTAGGCTCGAACTTCTAGTGATCCTAATATGCTTCTCGCGACGGCCACAAGCATCGAAATCAAATGGATTACTACCCCAACATTTAGTAAAAGTCTTCCCCGGACATCAATTTCTCGGTGACAGGGCCGGGGGTGCTACGCTTTTTCCTTTACATAAAAAAAAAAGTCTAGGTACTACCTTAAGCAAGGTGAGTTGAACGATCAAAGCGCCTGAAGCTTCCCATTCTTTACTGGTGCCTCTGGGGTTTAGTTCATCGGCTCCCAAGGCCCCCACACCGGTTCTCACAAGGGAACTCTCGGTTCCGAAGGCTGCCGAGGAAAAACTGGAGTTACACCCAAGAGCATCCCGTGACGATATTTCCCCATTAGCTCCCTTCTCCAACTCAGTAGACTTCTGCCAAATTTGGAATCACACGCCCTTCTCGGAATCGGGCTAATGACACCTCTGGTCTTGCCACCGTTCATCAACTTTTCCCATCATAAACACCCTTCACCTCATCATATACACCCTGCCGGCCCGGTTCCCAATCGGTGCCGTGTACTGAGAAACGGTTCGCGAGGCCGGATCACCAAGCATCAGAGGTTCACCGAAACGGATCTCATCGCCATTGTAATATTGTGATTCAGCGAGACTTGTGGCTAGGAGGCCGGTTACTGCCGTGTTTTAGGACAGATTTGTTATTGCTTGGTAGCCAATGTACAAGACAGGAAGCGTCCGGAAGCGATGCGGAGGTCCGAGACGATTGTAAGCAAAAATATCTACTACGTAAAGAAGGGAGCTCATAGATAGGAATTGGTTCTCATCTCCTCTACTATAAACTCCTCTCTGCCATCCAAAGTCTCAGCCGTGTTTGGCATACATCTTCTCCATGGAACAACGTGGTTCGTCAAATAGCATCATGACAGCTCCAAAGGTGTGTCATACTCCCGCTCGTTCACATTTCTCGTTTGTGCAACTTCTCTTCTTGGAACGGCTATCGAAGTTACCAATACTAACATATTGCTTCGCTGCAGCTTACCGATCCTACCCTCATCAGAAACGCGTGTTACGTCAATGGTGAATGGGTAGCTGCAAAGTCTGGGAAGGACTTTGCTGTCGAAAGTAAGTGCTCCTGCGAACCCCTGTGTCCTTGAAATCCGAGATCATGTACTAACGTTACCTGCCTTTATGCAGACCCTTCAACCCTTGAAAAGATTGGGAACTGTCCCGAGTTCGACGCCAGTGACACCGAAGCCGCTATCGCCGCCGCCGATGCCGCATACAAGACATACCGCAAGACCCCGGCTCGCCAGCGGGCCCGGTACCTCCGCCACTGGTATGATCTCATGATGGAGAACTCGGAGGACATTGCACGACTCATTACCCTTGAGAACGGCAAGCCTCTGGCAGATGGCAGGACAGAGGCCAACTATGCAGCAGCTTTCTTTGAATGGTTTTCAGAGGAGGCCCCTAGAATTTATGGTGAGACCATCGAGGCAACAAACCCATCATGTCGTCTATCCACCATCAAACAGCCCGTAGGTGTCTGCGGCCTCATTGCACCGTGGAACTTTCCTGCTGCCATGATTACCCGAAAGGCCGGGCCTGCGCTCGCTGCTGGCTGTACTGTTGTCATTAAAGCTCCCGCTGAGGCTCCTCTGACAGCTCTTGCTCTGGCTGAGCTGGCGCATCGTGCTGGAATTCCTGCCGGCGTTGTCAACGTTATTACAGCCTTGGATAACACTGCTGAAGTGGGCAAAGTCTTGACTACACACCCCAAGGTCAAGAAGGTCTCTTTCACTGGGTCAACTGGCGTGGGCAGACTCCTTATGAACCAATCGTCATCAACGATCAAGAAATTGTCCTTTGAATTGGGTGGAAACGCTCCTTTCATCGTTTTCGAAGATGCGGACCTTGATAAGGCTGTTAAGGGTGTGATCGCCTGCAAATTCCGTAACTCGGGTCAAACTTGCGTTTGCGCCAACCGAATTCTGGTGCACCGCAGTATCTATGACAAGTTTGTCCAAATGGTCCTCGATGTTGTCAAGACCTTCGTTGTTGGTGACGGCTTTGGTGAGAAGACAACCCATGGTCCTCTCATCCATGGTCGTGCCGTAGCCAAGGCTGCTGAGCATGTTGAAGATGCTCTTTCCAAGGGAGCCAAGCTTATCCACGGTGGCGAGCGTCTACCACACCTCGGTCCTAACTACTTTGACCTCACAATGTTAACTGGTATGAAGCCTGGCATGAAGATCTGTAGCGAAGAGACTTTCGGGCCTGTTGCTGCTTTCTTTGCATTCGACAACGAGGACGAAGCTATCGAGCTTGCGAACGACAGTGATGTTGGCCTTGGAGGCTATTTCTTCAGCAACAATGTGAACCGATGTTATCGCGTGGCTGAAGCCTTAGAGGTTGGTATGGTTGGTGTAAATTGCGGTAAGTTTTCCCGAACACAAGAATGTTACATATCACTGACAGCAAAATCCTAGGCGTCCTGAGCGACCCTGCCGCTCCTTTCGGCGGCATTAAGCAGAGTGGTTTTGGAAGAGAAGGAAGCAAGTATGGTATCGACGAGTTTACAATCACCAAGATGGTCATGACAAATATTGATCCATAAGTTTTGGTCGAGTTGAGACATAAATTAGGCTGGCTATAGACGAAATAATACCCACAGGACGGTTATAGAGACGGAGTGTGACAACATTTAGGTGAACAAAATTGCTATACTGATAGACCAGCGGACTTTCACGTGTATGTGGAGAGTACACTACTCTAAGCGATCGTATCAGACGCCCAGACCCTTGACGTGCAGGCCGGCTCATCTTGACCAAATGGGGAATGTATCGGTGTGACATGAAGGCCCTACAGGTAAGGTTCATCTAGATACCTAATTAGGATGTCGTGAAGTGCTACCGTTTGTATTAAAGACGTGGGGAGACCAGATACATGTAAACAGAATCGTTCCAGATACGATGAATGCGGCGGGTGGCTCGTCAACACGTGGTAGATATGCTGTTTTGTAGATACTATCAGTAGGCATGAGGGTGCCGAATAGGGCAATTCAGTAAAAGACCCGAAGAGTTTCATAGACGACCCGCTCATTAATTTTCATGGTCTACATCTCAACAAAACTCCTCTGTGGTAAATACTGAGTTTGTGAGGCTATCGCCACAACCAAAAAGCCGCTTCAGCTACCGGCCTATGGTGTTCTCCATTATTTCCCAGCGGGGCCCGCTCCGCTGCAAAGACAGGGTGTTTGAGATCTTGGATCGGGCTGTTCGCGTTCGGCATTTGAACGGGCAAGATGCAATGGCCGGAACGTTTATTCTGGAAGTCCCCGGTCCGGTCCGGTCATATCTCGTCTTCTTTGAAGACAGGAAGAGGAGCAGATAAGGATCAATTGGCAGAATGTGGGGAAGCGGGCAGTGATGTCTAAGACGTATCGACCGGGAACAAATGCCGGCCCCGCATGTGTACACTCCAACAGTTCATGACGATAAGCAGATGGTAGGATGACGGAAATTCAAAAATATGCTCTTATTATTATTATATTCATCACTGTGGTTCTCAATCTTTCCATTCACCATGCACAATATTCACATAGACTCTAATAGGAGTTCTAGAGCCTGTCATATCCGCTACATAGTTCTCATTAGGACAAAGTATCTGTCATCTCAATGAGAGATAGCATACTCTCAGCATTACCTGTCACCATAGGCTATATTGCACTACTACGTGCGTGGTTGAAGGTTGGGTAGTATCGTTTGTATGGAAGATCATGTCCGGTAAGACATTGTGGGTGAGATGTGTGGTAGCTGAACTCTGTATGTAGTTCCTCTGTCAAGAAGGGCAAAAATATGTCCAAACGAACCACATTGCTCACCTTGCAGCTTCTAGTGGTGACCAGCTCCAGAGGTTATCTATGAATTGACCGAAATCTGAAGTTACCATAACCATCCTTTTCAATCTGGCCGCCGGAACCGAGATCTCGGCTCCAGGAACCGGTGATCGAAATATGCAGAATTCTTACCCAGAACCGCCTAGCTCGTCTGATTGACCAGAGATCCCGGGTCCACGGAGTACCATACCTTATTGGCATGTCTTTCACCATGGAAACTCGTTTTTCAGGAACGTCATATCATTCACCACTGATGATGACTAAATCTCAGACTTGGACTATATCTCTACATATTACTATAGGGTACGTAGGGAATTAGCTGTTGTTATTCATAGGTCGCTACCGTTGTGCAGCACTAGGTTGTTCTCGTATCGGCAGTTTTGGCTTTAGTGCTTCATTGTTATACTTATCTTAAAATAGATGATTTGGGTATATCTCTTGTAGCCTGTGTTACTCTGGATGCTATCTATAGCGTTGGGTAAGGTGAAAGAGGGATCGGTGGGTTCTCATCGAGCCAACATGTTATTCAAGAGGAACGCCACTTTCTTGACGCCATTATCTGATCCCAGTAACACAAATTTAAAATTAGGCCAGTTGATGATAAAGGCCAGAAACATGAGAGACAAACATAAAACATAGAGGCATAGGGAAAAGCTCCACAAGGTGTTAATGTTGATCCTGGTATAGAACTTCCTGCAACCATTCCCAAGTCTTACGTAGGACAGCTATGCAATTCTGTTGGGTTCAAGACACAGACTGGCCAGTCAAGGCCATTTGAAACCAGCTTACACTTACTATTGGGCTTTAGAAGCACATACAGATAGAACTTGGTCTGTTTTGCCATTCTCTGTCCAGTGGCATGTTCACGGCTATGATCCGCCACTCGAGAAGGCGTCTGGATAAGGTATATATAGAGATTATACCGATAAAATAGGCTTCATAGTCTCATCTGTATGCCTCCCATCCCAGATTTAATCACCAATGACATATTTACTTAGACTCGTCCTTGGCCAGCAGGTTTTCCACTCTCTTGACCTTATCCTCCGCCGTCTGTTTCTTATCCGTTCTATGACAAGATCATGATTAGCATGCAACCACACAAGACCCCATGGAAATAATGCATATGAAGGGTGGTTGAACTTACCGACTACCGACCCTCATCGACGACTGAATCCTGACTACACCACGGCGGTGCACAACAGCATGTGCTTTTCCTACAGCCGCCATTACCTCGTTCCACGATCCCTCTAAAGGTAACTTGTTAGCTTTATGCACCTGGAGTTGTGAAGTTTGCTGCAGCAAGTAGAGCCTAATATTGGTGCATGCCAGAAATAACGCACCCACGGTGGTACCAGCAGAGTGAAGAGTATACTTCAATCCACTCGCCTTGAGGACCTTTTGTACCTCAGCAATATCTTCTGCAACGGATACAGTTCCAGTTCCGATCTTTTCGTTGTCAGTATTAGAATGTCTGCATTCCCACCTCCATAGCGCTTCGAGGGACATAGAAAACCAAGACTCACGGGAAGAAGGCAAAAGTCGACATAGCACGACTCTGGCGTAGCAATACTTTCGTAATCCATAGTCAAAATCTCAGGTTCCAGTTTGAGTGGTATGAAATATGATTGAGAGTAAAGGTGGAAAAAATAAGGGGAATATATTGACGGTGTTCTAGGCTTCTGGGTCTTGGAGTTGGTCTAAAATCGCTGCTAATTGGCTGACATGACGTTGCAATCATCAACGACTTCATGATGCTGAAAATGCTGATAATGTTGCTGACGAGGGGCACAGCTGTGCATTACTCATGAAATACGTATTATCATTCACAGAGCAATTTTCAGTCAATATGACATCTCTATACATTTCTATTGAGAGTCTATCATCAAGGTAAATGCATATCATCCGCCCAACAGGCCAGTCTTATGTTAACATATCGCCACAAAGCTATCGACCCATCCCCCCTGTCCCGTGTTGTAATTCAATCTATGAAGATGCAAGCTTGCTATCCCAAACGCCTCGCTGTATGCCCATGTGACCGCACCGGATTAAACGGCAGGTCCTATCAAACCTGTGTAAATAATGTCGAGATAGAAGAGTGAAGACAAAGAAATTGTGTCTGAATGCTGAAATGCATTCAAGCCTGGAGAAACCTTTTATACCAACAGCACTGCGGCAGCGACGAAGGCAGTCAGGGCAACCATGCCGACTTGTCTGTCAGTGGTGCTGCCGATCGACTCATCCGAGACCTCCTCACGCCCAGTGGCGTCAGAGATGCCGTTCATCTTGTCTGTCGCTGCGAGAACCTGACCCTTCTCGAAGAAGTCTACCAGCACAAAGTTGGGCACAGCACCCCACTCCTGTCGACATTCCTGAAGATGCTTGCCCAGCTGACCATCCTCACTGGTACCATCACTGTTGACAGTATCGATGTTCTCAGTGTCAGGGACGAACAAGTCACTGTTGTCTGAAAGACTCTGATACTTGAAATGGTTGACGAGACCCATGTAGTTACTGGCCATGGCTGTAGCACCATCTTTAATCTTAGATGGGCGGTCGACAGTGCAGTTGAAGCCGGTGAGAGAAGGAACCTCAAACGCCGTCTCAAAGACATAGTCGAACTCTGGCATCAGGTAGGGGTACTGGGTCGAAGCATCAATGTTGGTGACGAAAGTTACGAGGCGTGTGCTGTTATCGATCATGGACTTGAGAGTAGGCCACTCGCTGGTCGGTTCCTGGGTAGCGGGTGCGTAAGCCAGCTCAGCAATGCCGGAACCGTTGATGGCTTGTCCAAATTCATCAGGTTTGGCATCGTCGGAGTTGACAAGCAAGAGAGTGACAACCTCATTCTTGTTCGCCTTCATCCACACGTTGATTTTAGTCAACCAGTCCTCGAGTGGGCCAGCATCGAGAATGCCACAGGAAGTGTGACAAAGACGGAGGGTGTTGTTTTCTTTGTGTACCTGGGCCTGAAGCAGACGAAGACCAGCGTCGAGAGCATCCGTGGCGTTGAAGTTCTGGTTACCTGCGGCGGCGAGTCCGTCGTTGCCATCGCGTAGAAAAGAGCTTCCGTGAGCCCCCATGTGTGTGATGTTGTTATAACTGCGGCTACAGAGGTCCGGAGAGTTGTTGCATGCTGTTGAAGAACCAGACCCTGACCCTGAATTTGATTGTGGGAGAGCGTAGACGGTGGACGTAGCAGCGAGAACTCCGGCCACGACGGAGAGAAGTGAGGACTGGAGCATGTCGATGAGTTTCTGATATGTGCCCGGCTTATCGAGAATCTATGTGTTAAACGAGACAGAAGAAAAATATGATGATGCAGAAGATAGACAGGAGATAAGAAACAAATCTAAAGAAGGACAGGTGAGGTTAATAAACCATGAAACAAAGAAAACAATATTTGCCATGGAGTAGGTCATGAGGTAGGCTGTAGGTCCCCGTAGGCATAGGGGATGAGATGGTTGTTGTCCGTGCTTTGAAGCTGACGTCGCCCCGGTCCAATTTTCTTTATTTTTTGTTCGAGGTTGGGGGCTCATCCAGTTGGCGGCGGCTCACTGAGAGCCATGGGAGCGAACCAAAAGAGACCCTAGATATCCACCGAATACCCACTGCCCGGAACACTGGAGTGATCGTCAAACGACCGAAAAGCCAAGACATTGAAGGTTGGGGCTGAGGTCGGGTCTGGTCTCGAGTGGTCCGGTCGATGCTGCGCCCCTTGAGACGTCAGCAGTGGATATGCCCTATAGGTGTTGTGTTACGCTTCAAACGCCGACGAGACAAATTAAGAATACCGTTTTTGCTCCAACGTCGTAAACAGAGTTTGCTTGACATCTGTTTGAGATACAGTTTGAGATTGATACCTGTCGAGCAAACCCTAGGTATGTTTTCTAAAGCATAAATAAGGCCTTTACTGTAAATCGATGTTACTTCATGCTCGATACACGTCATGCCCGGCTGGTCGGTGTTATCATACCGTGCAGATCAACATGGACCGTTTATCCATCCTGCCATCCAAGGCTCCAACTCCAACCACCACGGTTTACGATGCTAGTCGGCCAGCAGCGATACATCACACGTGTAGATGACTTATTCCAAGATGCCAAGAAAATATACTGTACCTTACAATGCGGGAGCCGAGACGTTGTCTCGGCTGAAGCCATTTGCCCTCCACATTCCGGACATTTGAGAACGCCTCGCCGCCAGCGAGATTGGATCTCGTTTGTCTAAACGTGTGGTACTCAATTGCCTCTCGTATCTAATATTAACCCCTTTTTGGCTCAACGAACTGAATTTTCTCAGGTATGCTCAGAATATCGTGACACCATTCAACTACAAAATCACATCTAACCTCAGTTTCCTATGCATACAACGATAACCAGCCATTCCTCGTGAAGGAGGTGGTGGTGGCGGCTGGGAGGCTGAGCAGACAACGTTTTCGAGGGGCATAATCTATTTTTATCTGTTTCATGCCATTAGCTTCCGTGGGTGGTGACCTACATCGACGTGGCGGCTCAAAATGTTGACCAAGCATGACGAACCTCACTTTTCATCGTACCAAACACGATGGCATGATGGTTGGTCTATACGTAGGTATACGGTCGTGGCGATTAATCGCGTTTCTTTCACTTAGCTAATAAGATAGACTTCAATAACCCCTCGATGCATGTTCGGTAACATTTTTCTTACTCGTGGCCATTGAACATTGTGGGGCCCCATTGCAAGACTGCAGATACCTATCACCGAGCAAGTTCTTGTCCTTGCGTACTCTTGCTTACTCAGGATCACCGTATTCTTCTTTCTTGTCCACAGAAGCCGCGGCTTCAATCTCTTTCAGCTGCTGCTTCCCTTCCTCCGTTGTAGCGTCAATGATTTCTTCCTCCAGGCTCAAAATGTTGGCCTGTAAAGCGATTCGTTAGCCCGTGAATTCTAACCTTGTCGGCAATCGTTGGCAACTTACCTCGCCAAAGAGACCCACGAGTTCCTCAGCCTCGTCAATCTTCATTTCACCCAGCACCTTGTTCACTTCGTCCAAGTTGCCCGTCTCCAAGGCCTTGCGCATCTCAGGCTTGAAACTTTCGAAGATCTTCCGCGCTTCCTGCTCTTCGGGGTCCTCGCTGTCTGCTGGAGGAACCTTGATGTTGATGACCGTACCAGGCTCCACGGCATGCAGCTGAATTTGCTCGACACCTTCGGCTTGCCCTTCTTTGGCTCGCTCGGCTAAAATCTCCCTTGAACGTGTTCGAATCTTCATATATGTGTCTTGCACATCCTTATAGAATACGTCCTGTGCCTGGTGCCCCTTGGTTGTGATGCGTTTGAAGAAAAGCCCCACACCATCCTTACCAAGAGCTCTGCAGTATTGTAGAAGTAGGGCCTGGTGCACTAATTGTCGCGACAACTCATCCTTGTTCTCTAGAGCAGCATCGAAAGCCTGAACCAGAAGGCCATCTGTCTCCCTCTCAACCAACAACTGAGGATTCTGCGACAGGAACTGGAGACTAGCCGCATAGTCATTTGCCCTAATGGTGCCAAATTTCTTTCCAGCCGGTGAAGATTCGATATCGCTGTCATCGTCCACCTTGACGTCTTGGTTTCCGGATGCCGAGCTTGAGGAGGTTTCAGCGAAACTAGGGTTCAGGAGCTCTACCTGTGTAGAGTCCTTCTTCTCTTCTGGCTTTGACTTGGCGACATGCGAGCTATCAAAACCTGTGTGAATGCCCTCACTTGTAATCTTTCGGCCTTCCTCCTTCTGCAACTCTTCCAACTTAGCTACTAGCTGTTTCTGCAGGTCCATTACCTTGTCCTCGTGTGACTGGATCTCAGAAATCATAGCTTCGTATCTGTTTTCCGGTTTCTTCTCATCCAAAGCCTTATTGACTTGGTCTAGGAGCGTTGCCATCATCTTAGTGTATGACGGTTGTTCCTTCTCCTGGGTATGAACACCCTCGGGTGGTGAAGGCGGCTTGTCATCTCTCGGATCTCCAGCTGATTCCATCACGGCTTGAAAGGCAACTTCTGCTGGGTTTCTGGTGGCAGCCTCGGAGGCATGGGCTCGCAGCGATGCCAGAAGCCCAGAAATTCGCTTCAGCAAACCATCGTTGACCACACGCTCATACTTGTAGGTCTCGATTTGTAACTTTCGGTGCTGTCTCTCCTGGTGAATCTGATTCTGCTTCGCGCGGATAAACGATCGCTTGTCGACATTAGGATGCACTTCAATGTCCGAGTCGTCACTGAGTTCCAGTGCGTCCTACCAAGGCTGTCAGGGACGGGATCGAGCAAACATGTTCCAAAACTTACCCATTTACTATAATCGACCGGCATGTTGTAGAATTTGATACGTATCAGTCACCGCCTTACAAGTGGTGTCGTGAGATGAGTTCAGTAAGGAGTGTTGGATAAGACCGCAGGAATGGAAGTTTCTGGACCTTGCTTTAGAGCTCTACCATGATAGCGGGGTGATTACAAGCAACCCCACTAGTATGGTTGTGGCAGACTGTGGCTGCTGTTTGTACCAGCCACAACACGGAGAACGGAGGTGAACAAAGCTACTAAGTCGATCACACCAAACGAAGAATGGTAACATGGATACTATTAAGTAAATTCTCATTGCCGCAGCAGTCAAACCAGACAACAAATAGTATCCTTAGCAATTATTCCACAAGCAAAAGTACGCCTTCGCTAAATGAACGATCTAGGCTATTGTACACATCAACATTGACGGGGTTGAATACCATATTCTAGTAGGACCACCGTCTCGTCCAAAACTCGGCAATCAAATGCTTCACCATGTTTTCAGCAAGCCTGGGAAGTCGGCCTATCGCCTACGACATCGTCTTCATGAAGTCATCCAGGTCGAAACTCTCCTCATACTGCTTGTTATCCCAAAGATCTCCCAAATCATCCAGCCATGCCTTCTTGCCTGGTACACGCACATCACCTGTCTCGATATCGACCATATCCTCTTCTCTTCCGTCGATGTTGTTCTTCTCCTTGTCGGCTAAGAGGTTTGGTGCGGCGTCTCCAACATTGAACAGATCAAGGATCTGATCTGTGTCCATCGTTGAGAGGCCAGCGTTCTGTTGATTTACGACTGTTGATGCGACATCAATCTTGAAACGTTGGAGGTTCAGAATTTTCTCCTCGAGAGTTCCACGGGTGATAAGGCGGTACACGTTCACCACCTTCTTTTGACCGATACGATGGGCTCGATCCATGGCCTGGAGATCCTTCTGGGGGTTCCAATCGTGCTCCACGAAGATGACAGTATCGGCTCCTGTCAAATTCAGTCCAAGACCTCCCACGCTCGTTGTTAACAAAAGCACGTCATACGACGGGTCACTGTTAAACTTGTTGACGATATCTTGTCTCTTGTTGGCTTCAACCGAGCCGTCAAGTCGGAGGTGAGATACTGAGGGCAATAACTCCTTCAATACCTTATTTTGCACCATATCGAGCATCTCCTTCATTTGACAGAAGATCAGCGCACGGTGGGGCTTAATAGGTTGGTAAAGAGGATCATTCGAATCACTGCCTTCAACGCCAATACCGCAATCCACCAGTAGATCTCTCAGAGCGGTCAACTTGGGTGCGTGCTGCGCATCCTCAATGGAGGTTCCTTGCTTGGCGAGAATCTTCTGCGTCTCATCGTAAAGAGTGCTTCCTGGTTTCATTACCATGGCAGGTGAGTTGCACAACTTTCGCATATACTGTAGCGCTTGGAAAATGTGTTGCTTAGCTTCTTTATCTTCACGACCCGCTTCGGCTTGAATCTTCTTGCCCTGTTTCTTTGTGAAGTCCTCGAATAGTTTTTGCTGTAGGTCGCTCAGGTCACAATAGTAATTCTGCAAGATCTTTGGCGGAAGATCGTTCAAAACCTCTTCTTTGAGGCGTCGCAACAGGAACGGAAGCACCTGTTTGTGAAGTGCTTCAATCGCCAAGGCACCCGCTTCCTGTTCCTTTGATGATGCCTTGCTAAATCGACTTGCAGCTATAGGTTTCGCAAAGCGGTCCAGAAAGACTTTTTCAGCACCCAAGAATCCAGGCATCAAAAAGTCAAACAGAGACCAAAGCTCCAAGACATTATTCTGAATAGGGGTGCCGGTGAGGATAAGACGATGATTGCTCGCCAGCTTCTTGACTGCCTGCGTGATCTTGGCCTTAGGGTTCTTGATCAGATGGCCTTCGTCGAGCACAACATAGTTCCAACTATGCTTATCGAGAACTTCTGCGTCATTGCGGCAGACATCGTAGGATGTGACTACGATGTCAGTCTCGCCAAGTCTGTCTTTCATAGCCTTTCTCTCCGCTGGCGGTCCAACATAGGCGGTCACGCTCAAGAATGGTGCATAGGTCTTGATTTCTTGTTGCCAGTGACCTGAAAGCGTAGGTGGGCAGACAATTAGTGACGGCAGCTTGCGAACATCCGGTGCCTGTGTCTTGGCAAACTCTTCGGCACGCTGATGATGATCGCTTGCTACGATACAGAGGGTCTGCAGGGTCTTGCCTAGACCCATATCATCACAAAGAATACCATGAAGGTGGTATTTATTGAGGAAATTGAGCCAGTTGACGCCTTCTTGTTGATACGACCGTAGCTCAGCCTTGATGGCTACGGGAATCTGGAACTGCTCTACCTTCTTTGGATCCAGCAGTTGAGCAATGAAGGTTCTCTCGCGGTCTCGTCCTTTCAGCAATTCCTCGGACAATCCGGGCGGGTCAGGAATTCCAGCTTCGAGAGGAACAAGTTTGACCAACGTGGCAAAGGATGTTGTTGCGATGAGGCGAATTTCGTTGTCAGAATCGCTCATTCGTCCTAAAACTGGCACAATCAAAAAGATGACATATGGCAAAATAGCATCCCCCATAACAGCAATCAGATGGTAGATAGCTTCGATTGCTCCTTGTCGGAAATTGAGGTCGACTGGATTGTTGATCGATGGGAGAACCTTCTCAACAAGTGCAGTCATACCTTCCACGGTCATGACACTACAGATTGTGGCCATACACTTGGCAGCCATGTACCGGAAGACTGAAAGTTCCGAGTGCAAAGCTTTTATGACAAGAGGCATCATTTGCATGATGAAAGGTTGCAAGGCCTTATCCAGAGTTGGAGTCATGGTGCGAATGACAGACATGGCGTCGACAATCTCTTGTCCAAACGTCTGTTCGGGATCCTTAGCCTCTCCAGGCAGAGTGTCAAGCGAGAAAGCTCGAACAAGAGGATCTTCCATGAATGTGCGGAGGCTGGGGACAGTTTCAAGTAGGCTGGCACCGTAAGTTCTAGAGAGAATTTCGAGGGCTTCTTTTGCACCTCGTCTGGTGATGCGGGCAGCTTTAGCTTCGCGGGCCCATTTAGCAGCATCTGGGTGATCGACACGATCCTCTTCCTTCTGCATGGACAGAACACAATCAGTCTTACTGGCATGAACTGGAAATTCAGGAGTCTCTGCAACTTCGACACAAGAGAACTTGACCAGGTTGGATACCACTTTATCGGCTGGTCCCTTTCGACCCTTTTCAGTGAAAAGCTGCACGAGTCTTGCAATTGTGTCAGCAGACCGAATTTGAAGTTGCTGGTTCTCTTCCGTTTTGACAGAGTCCATGATGCCCTTGATCAATGGGCTGGGTTTCTTCGGAAGCACTTTCATGCCAACCATTGCACACGCTGCTGCTGCCTTGACGCGAACATCACGAGCTGCCTTAACAGTCTTGGCTTCTTCAATGGCCAAAATGGTCATATCACGAGCGTCGGACAGCTGCTGGCTCGCTATCAGACGTTGACCGGGAGGCATGGCCTTCTTCAGTTTCTCATAGTCATCGCCGATACATTTCTCTGCGGTGGCAATGGAAAAGGCACTCGGGCCAGCTTCTGCTTCTCCTTGGACCACGACAGGCAGTGTCGGAAGTTTGCTGTGCGAGACCTTGCCATGGTCTCTGAACAGATGAATGAGCTGCTGGCATTGTGTCCTGACTCGCTGGATGAAGTTGACAAGATCCCTGTATGCCGCTGGACGTTCTGAATCAATAATGCGTTGTAAATTCTCGAGGTAACGAGGAGAATCGCCCAAGTGTTGGCTGTTCATGGCAAACTCGTCGATGATCACGCATGCTGTCATCTGGCTGGATGAAAATGCTGACCCTAGGCCAGGAATTAACAATGCATCATAATCGTCCAGGCTTGCGACAGGGACTCGAGACATGATGAAGCCCATTGCCTTGGCAGCCGAAACACGGGAGCGAATCAGCACATCCATGCCAACGAGATCCACGTCGCCTTGCATCATGTGACCATCGACATCATGCGTTAGGCTGGCTGTAGGGGTGTCGTCGACCTTTGTGGATTTCCGGCGACGCTTGGGAGCACGATCAGACCCATCGGGAGATGACGGCTTCCGTGGTGTGTGCTGAGTAACTCCGGGCATAGTATACGTGCCACCTGATGGTTTTTGGAAGAGTGAGGCGTTCATTGGGATCGGATTTCTCGAAACACCGATAGGGTGTAGAGTCAGTTGCATCATAGGATCGATGTGAGCAGTGAATTCGTCTGCAAGAACAGCAGGTTTGCTGGCTAGGCTCTCGACCAGAGACGTCCATAGGTCCAAAGACATGTTAAGGGCGTCTCTATCTCTTTCAACAAGAATATTTTGAAAGATCAATCGGAGAATTCTGCCGTTGAGCCAGCCCTGGGAGGTCTCTGCGTCAAGTTTTGCGAAAGTCGACAATGCTTTCAACACAGCCACCCTCACCGACGTGATGGTATGACGTAAAAAGGGGTAGAGTCTAGGGACAAGCAGGGTAAAGGAACGTTCTTCATCTTGAGCGGCCGATGCCTTCATTGCTTCGAGTACCTCTGGGAAACCACACAGAGTCGCGAGCAGATCCATAATTCGTCCAGTACTGGCGCTCAGGTCATCACCAAGATTTGAGAGACTTTCCCAGATTATGTTGACAAGTCCCTCGAGTTGTGTGGGCCGCAAAGTGACAAACTCCTTCGCCATGGGGATGAGCGTAGCGGCACTGACAGAACGGACATCGTCATCCATATCACCCAGGCCCTTCATCACAGTCTTTATTATGCCATCAATCATGTCGCTGTCCTGAAGGAGGAGGTCTTTCCTGACCGCGACGACATATCTCAGGCCAATCATCCCGCCATGGCACACTGACCAAACTGGCCTATCAAGCTTGAGATCTTCTTGCATAACCATTCTGTAGAGAATTTTGAAGGTGCTGTAAACAGATGGCGACGGTAGATGTTTCAGAACGGACCCAAGAGACTGTCCAATTGTTTCCCGAATAGGTGCCACAGAGGTATCGGAGCTGTAGTCAGTGAAGCGATCAAGCATTAGTACACAGCACAGCCGGCAGGCCATATCATCAAGCCATTTCTGATTGAGGACATCATTCTCCTTCCTTGTCTTGTCGCGTAGCTTCCCTGCACCTCCACCATGTACTCGGATAACTTCACGAAGGCCCATGGCAGCTCCGTGTCGGGTTTCCCAGGAAGGGTCAAACAAGTCCACTTTGAGGAAATCGCATAACCGGTCATATGGCCACTCAGCGCCCTCCATAGTCTCCTCCGCTTCTAGCTCGGATTTTATGGGGATCACTGGTCCTTTGAACTCGCTCACAACCTTAGTGTCCTCATCAACATCGGCAGGACGATCGAGATTGAAGTAGTCGTTGACTTTGCTGTTCTTCTTGGTGTCTCCATCTGGCATGGCCGTGTCGTCTCCCAGGTTATCGGATCCAGATGTCATGGAGCGCCTGACAGAAAGATCTCCGAATCCTCCCTTACCTTGGGATGCTTTCATTGCCTCTCTTTTGCGTTTTCGTTTTAATACATTGAGCTGTCGAGAACTCAGTTGAGATTCTTCAGGCGCTTGTGATTGAGCACCAGATCCGTCAGGACGAGCGTGTCCATGCCCGTTTGTGGTGTCCATTGGGGTCATGGGCGCAGTAAGGTTGTCGCCACCTGTGTATGCGATTTCGTCATCTTCGTACTTCCTTCCAAGTAGTCCTAATCGCCCATTGAGAGTCTTCTTTTGATGTGTCAGTCGCGCTTGCGGATCAAGCGCTGCTAGTCCATATTCGATGCCACCACCACGCAGTAGTTCTTTGCCGTATTTGAGAATCATCTCAACATTGAGAGACTCCAATTTGAAGAGACCATCATCAGAAGGTAGCTTTTTTGCGTCATCTTCCTCCTCCTTCTTAATATGTCCGTTTTCGGGCACAGGCTCCTCCTTCTTCCCTTCCTCGGGCGCATCTTCAGAGTTCGGGTCGTAAACAGGGGCATGCTCTACAATTTTTCCAATAGCAGAAGCTGCGGTTCTCCTTGTCTCCCATTCTTTGTGTCTCAGATAAGGGACGACACGAGAGAGGAGATTGAATAATTCATCAGGGTGTTGCTTTTGCCAATCAGCAAGCTGATTAACAGCAGTATCACGGATGAGTCTCGTACTACCCGTTTCGAGGATACTACAATTCTGTCAGTTTCAATCTCATGTAACAGGAGAAATAGCGCTTTAGACGACACATGTCCCGGATTTCATAGATCCGGGGGTTTGTTAGGATTTGAATAATGAAGCACACTTACGTGACTAATCTGTCAAGTCTAAATGGAGCGTCAGTACATTGAGACTATGTGGATATGACGTTTGGGAAAACTTACCTCGAAGCCATTGTGTGTATTAGTTGGTTGTAATATTAAGCGCGTGTCATGGCATCTCGGTCGCTGAACCACAGTTGTCAGTCTTCAGCACTTTCAAGAAGTCAAGCCTTCAACGGAAACCAATGATATGAAGATTGTGTCAATATAGTACCCGGCGCGGCGAAATCGTGTAGCGCGACGCGACGGATGCAGTGGGTCGTCGGGTGTGAGATGCATGCATCCGGTAGACGAGACCGAAGGCACAGGAAGATATGGGAACTCGGTTCAACAAGCGTCACTCTCGGCTTCATTCGAGTGATAGGGATTGTGAGAAGATAACAGAAAGACTTTGAAGGAGTGCAGCCAATTTGGTGTGAAATATTAATGAATGAAAAAAAATCAACTGTGCATGACGCAGTGTGGGGGACATAGCAACGGATCATAATATATACCATAGTAGGTCGAAGGGGAATGATAACGATCGAAGAAGGGAAAATTCAAAAAGTGAGAGGCATTGAACCACTTACCGGTTGAGTTGGTGGTAAAAAGGTAATTCGGTGTCAAGCCTCAAGAGCCAAAGCGCACCACCTTGATTCAATTTGTAAAACCCAGCAAAGCTGTCAACACCAATTGTTGCTTGCCGAAGGTCCCGGCCAAATCGAACTGGTAGTTAAGATATCCCAATCCCCTGTCTACACTGCATGCAGCATCGGCACTTAAAAGTCAGATTAGAGTGGATGTGGTGATGTTATGCAGAGGAATATGCTGCAATGAGACGTAGCCGATCAGTCGTGACGATGGTCGGCAGTTTTAAGTCTTCCAATGACTCTGGTTGGCCGGGCTGCAGGCGCTTGAAAAGGCTGGGGTTGTTGGTGTAAGTTCTAGATGACTTGTATTGGATTGGATGGCCAAGTGTCCGCTCGCTGTATATAACAGCAATCAATAGGGGAAATCAGCCGGGGTTAAGGGATGATTGAAAATTAAAGTGGGTGCAGCTTGAATTTGTTGTCGTACTGGAAGTTTGCGATTGCCCGAGTAGGCAGGAGTGGTGCTTTTCCTTGGTTGCTGCTACCACTTGCGCAAGCTGCTGCTGCTGTGGTTCCGGGTGGCCAGCTGGGAAAATCGGGGTGGAGGGCAGGCCGGGTCTTCTATAAGTGAGTGCTTGTATTTTTATACACGCGGCGCGGCTTTGAGGAGCACGGCCAACGGTTTCTTTCGTTGCGCTCGCTTAATTTCCCTCTTGCCTGCTAGCGTCGTGATTTGGCCCCTGGTCTTTTTCTTGTCTCTTGTTGCCTTTGGCCAACTTCAGCCCAGTCTACCCACTTAGAGCCCATCTCGACTGGCTGGCCCACTTAAGGTGTGGCCCAACCGTGCTGGGGACAATAAGACAGCACCAGCCTCATGGCGATCTTTTGCAAATATGTAGAGGATGACATTGAGAAGTCATCCTGCGGTTTAATAATTGATCCGGGGCTATCTCTTATAAAAAACTCAATGTTAATAATGGCATTTTCGCTTACCCTGTATATAACTTAAATCTTATATATTAAATTTATTAGTTATTCTTTATTGTCTTTCTTTTATTGGTATCTCTATATGTAAATATAGTTTATTAAAGTAAAGTCTTTAAACATTTTATAATAATACATATATAATGTAACATAGTTGTGGTTACACAAACTGAAACATACCCTATAGGAAGCAAAGACAAGCAGTTATCAGGTTGGTAGGTACAAAGCACATGGGCATGGGAATGTGATAAGTCAGGCCAGTATCCGAATGCAGTGCTATCCCGAAGTTGGTGTGAATGAAAATGTGTTGTAATAATTATTCATATCAGAATTGCACTTCATGCTTACACACAGAGGGTACATGATATCATGGCTCGGTCAGATCTGTAAGATCCAGCCTACGACAAGCCAGGCCAGTAACCTCTACTGGTAGCGAAAATGGATAACTATGTGCATAAAATTGGCTGCACTGAGATGTAGGGATCTATGCCGCTCCCTACATAGTAAGCGAAACGCTTTAAGTTCCTATAGCTTACGCTGTACTCAAATCTGATGTAGTTATCCTTTTCCCCATCGAAAGTCACTAAATGAAGCAGATCGCTGACAAGGATACCTTAGTAGCCAGCATCCATGAAAGGATGACCAAAGCTCTAAGAAACGAGGAAGGTGAGGTAAGGTACCTTTGGTACTGAGGTAGACAGCACAGACCACACGGAGAACAGAAAGGAAATTCTGCCTAGCTTTCCAGGCAGAAACCGCGTTCCAGCTCAACGACGCGCCAATGCCAACCACTTTGATCGCGGTCTAGATTCCAACGACGCGTCAAATCGCAGCAAAGTGGCACGCAACCCTACAGATCGCATACTTTGTCAAGACTGCACAGTCTCCTGCAGTAAAGCCGTCTTGACTTTTCGCATGTCGCGCAGGAGCGCCCGCGCAGTTAAACATGTATATCAAGCAAATCATCATCCAGGGCTTTAAAAGGTATGTGGATTGACATCATTGCTGCCCTCGCATTCACCCAACAATCCGGTTCATTGCTAATACTGCCATAGCTACAAGGACCAGACTGTAATCGAACCGTTTTCCCCAAAGACCAATGTGATTGTCGGTCGCAATGGCTCCGGAAAAAGTAACTTCTTCGCCGCCATTCGCTTCGTTTTGAGCGATGCGTATACACAAATGAGTCGCGAAGAGCGGCAAGGCCTTCTCCACGAGGGCTCAGGCTCAGCCGTTATGTCGGCTTACGTGGAGATCATCTTCGACAACAGCGACGACCGATTTCCAACTGGCAACAAAGATGTTATTCTACGCCGCACAATCGGCTTGAAGAAAGACGAATACTCTGTCGATCGAAAGGTTGTAACCAAGGCCGATGTCATGAATCTGCTTGAAGCGGCCGGATTTTCACGATCAAACCCCTACTACATCGTACCTCAGGGACGAGTCACCGCCTTGACCAACATGAAAGAGTCCGACAGGCTCAACTTATTAAAAGAGGTAGCGGGAACACAGGTGTACGAAACGCGTCGCGCAGAGTCGCTCAAGATTATGAACGAGACCAATAACAAGAGAGAAAAGATCGATGAACTGCTGGAATACATCAAGGAAAGGCTTAGCGAACTCGAGGAAGAAAAGGAAGAACTCAGAGCGTTCCAGGACAAGGACAGAGAGAGACGGTGCCTCGAATATGCCTACTACCACAACATCCAGCTCGGGATTCAAGCAAACCTGGACGAGCTTGATAACGTCCGGCAAGACGGAATTGATAGTTCTGATACCAACCGAGCAGAGTACACTGAGGGCGAGAAGGCGATATCAAGGCTTGATTCAGAAATACACAAGCTGCAGAGAGAAATGGAGCTTTTGCAGATCGAAAGGCGACAAGTCGAGGAAGATCGGCGCGACGGCGCGAAAGCCTTGGCCAAGGCTGAGATGAAGGTTAAGAACTTGAGAGAAGGTCAATCTGCACAGGAACAAGCCCGCGCACAACATGCAGCTGAACTTGAGTCCGTGCAGAATGAGATCGCATCCAAGGAACAGCAGCTTTCAACCATTAATCCAGCCTATAACCAAAAAAAGCAGGAGGAAGACGAAATCCGACGACAACTTGATCATGCTGAAGCCACACGTAACCGCTTGTTTGCCAAACAGAGCCGAGGTTCCCAGTTCAGAAACAAGTCTGAGCGTGACACATGGTTGCGGAAAGAGATACAAGAACTCGAACTCAACATAAGCACTCAAAAAGCCAACAAGATTGATGCAGATGAAGAAGTTGAAAGGGTCCGCGAATCAATAGCACAGGCAGAGCAAGACGTTGCTGACTTACGGAATCGTTTGGCCAACTTCAGTGGCGAGAAAACAGCCCTTGAAGAGGAGGTTGCCAAGGCCCGCGACATTATAGACAAGCTTAACGATGAACGAAAGCTAGTTCGTCGTGAGGATGACAAACTCAACTCAGTTATAGCCAATGCTCGGCAGGAGAAGGAGACAGCTGAACGTGAGTTGGCTCACGCAATGGATGGATCGACTGCACGTGGTCTGGCGACGATCCGACGATTGAAGCAAGAGCGAGATATCCCCGGAGCATATGGGACATTGGCTGAACTGCTTGAAGTTAGTGATGCTTACAGACTTCCCGTTGAGCAGATTGCCGGCGCAAGTCTGTTCCACTATGTCGTTAACAACGCAGATACAGCCACTTATCTCGCAGACACCCTATACAGACAACAGGGAGGCCGAGTTACATTCATGCCTCTCGCCCAACTACGGCCCCGGCAAATTAAGCTTCCCAGGTCTAATGATGCCGTACCTCTCTTAAGCAAGATCAACTACAACGAAGAGTACGAGAAGGCGTTCCAGCAGGTCTTTGGAAAAGCTGTCGTATGTCCAAACCTTACAGTAGCAAGCCAATATGCAAGAAGCCATGGCGTCGACGGCATCACTCCGGAAGGTGACACAACCAACAAGAGGGGTGCCATGACAGGTGGATATATTGACCCTCGAAAGTCGCGCTTACACGCCGTACAAGCCGTGAATAAATGGAGGGATGAATACGAAAGGTTGTTAGCGCAATCTCGTGATATCCGAAAACAGACAGAACTCAAGGACCAGGAGATCACAGCTGCGATGTCAGACCTACAAAAGGCCAACGAAAGACTAAGACAGGCTGTCGACGGGTTTGAACCACTGAAGCATGAACTGATTAACAAGTCAAAGCATCTGGAGAAAGAGCTGAGCCACCTCGATGCCGCCATCAAACGTCGAGATGCAGTCGAGAAGAACATGAACAGCTTCTTGGAGGATCTTGCCGCACATGAGGCCGAACTTCGATCTGACTTTAAGAAAACCCTGACCGCCGCTGAAGAACGCCAGCTGGAGGAACTCGGGACAAGCACCCAGGAGCTCCAAAAGCAGTGGAATGAACTCAGCCGAGCCCGGCGTGATCTGGAAAGGCAAAAGCAACTTCTTGAAGTGGACCTTCGCCAAAACCTGCAAATGAAGCTTGATCAACTCAACAGCCAGGCTTTTGAAGACTCAACTGGATCCTCGGGCGGTGGGTTGAAAGATGCCCAAAGGGAACTCAAGAAGGCGCAAAAAGTACAGAAAGCTGTCGAGGCAAGCCTCCAGGAACTTGAAACCAAAATGGATAATACACAAGCGCGGCTCGAGGAACTGGCAAATGAGAAGGCTCAACTAGAGCAAGCGCAGAGTGAGATATCCGCGAGGATCGAGAAACAGCAGAAGAAGATGGACAAGAGTCTCCGAAAGAAAGCCGTTCTGTCAACACAAGCAGCCGAATGTGCACAGACTATTCGCGACCTAGGTGTGCTTCCCGAAGAAGCCTTCGACAAGTATGAAAATATGGACCCTAACCAAGTAAGTTTTGTACTACTTAAACCCAATGAGAAGTGACTAACGTGTTGGCAGGTCTCAACCAAGATCAAGAAAGTGAATGAAGCACTGAAGAAATACAAGCACGTGAACAAGAAAGCCTTTGAACAGTACAACAACTTCACAACTCAACAAGATCAGCTTATGAAACGACGTAAAGAGTTGGATGACTCTCAGGAGTCAATTGAGGTACTCGTTGAGCATCTCGACCGCCGAAAAGACGAGGCAATTGAGCGGACGTTTAAACAGGTTTCCAAGGAATTCACAACTATCTTTGGCAAGTTGGTGCCTGCCGGCCATGGCCGCCTGCTCATTCAACGACGGGCGGATCGTCGTCAAGAACCCGTCGACGAATCAGACGGAGAGGCACGCGGTGTTGAAAACTACACTGGTGTTGGCATCAGTGTTTCATTCAACTCAAAACACCTCGATGAGCAGCAGAAGATCCAGCAACTCAGCGGTGGTCAGAAGAGTAAGGCATATTATTCCCTTTGCTGTGTCCAACTACTAACAGGAGCAGGTTTATGTGCCCTTTGCCTTATATTCGCCCTCCAGGCTACGGAGAGCAGTCCCATGGTGATTTTCGACGAGGTGGATGCCAATCTTGATGCCCAATATCGTACAGCTGTTGCGGCCCTCCTTGAGTCCATCTCTAAGGAAATTGGTACTCAGTTCATTTGCACCACATTCCGACCTGAGATTGTGCATGTCGCCGACAGATG